GAAAAAGACTTAAGTCTAGAAATGGACGAACAGCCACAACTATCCGCTGGAGTTTACAGCTAGTGAACGCTAAAAAGAAAAAGACCATATTATGTATTACGTGTACTGGATAAATTCTGGCCAGAAAATATGCCACTAAGAGATTTTTTTTTTTAAATATATTATGAATGTATTGAAATTTTCTTCAAAGGTAACCAAGTTAAAATTAGTTGTATGTCCTATAGGACATCGCAAACCAATCCAGCATTGATTGGCTGTTTGTGGTTTTACTATGCAGTTTTACCTTCAGTAATTTGCCATTGGTTTCTTAACGATATGGTACTCGTACCACTGTCAAAATTAGCATAAAATAGTCTGCAACCAGATCGCCTGCCTATTTTTAAACTTCACTAGTACAGTTGCAGGTTTGACAGGTATAGATCATCATACCCGACCTTCATTTGCCGATGAATTTCTTAAGGTTTTCCCCCTTCACAGATTTAAAATTTAAATAACTGAAAATGGAATGCTGCTCCTCTTTGATGCATGTCAAAAGTGTAGCGGCCATCTTTAAACTGTAATTCCGTGTCTATCTACACTGAGAAGTCACGTGGTTGACATTCTTGACAACCTTAACAACAACACTGACAGGTTACAAGATAGTGGTATGGTTATTGTCATTACTTTTACACTTTTAATGTTTTCATTTGAAGCCCCCTCCCTTCCTATTGCAAATATAATCCATAATTTGTTGCTGTGATATTGATGAGGTATAACAGTCTGATCTGTTGTGAGGTAGCTGTTAGTTTGTCAGTTTGATATTTCCAAAATATCTATGCAAATGGCTGGTTTGTTGGGCAACATTGAGTTTTCTGGCAGATGTGACGAGCCTCGTAAATTTTGCATGTTATCTTGTCATACCTATGGAATTGTTGTATTATTAACAAATTATAATGTGATGTGATGTTTTTTCCTCATTCCAGATTTGATTCATTAAAAAAAAAAAACATGTATTTCTCTTGACCCGGTTATTTCACGCTTTGATCTGTTCTTGTGTGATTCACTTCTGCTGTGGTTACCATGTTGCCTGATTTTTTTCATTGATAGGTTGATTTAAAATAATGAGTACACACACAGGGTATCTTTACCAACAACAACAAAATCCCCTACAAAATCATGTATTTACTGTGTTTTGTGTTGCAGACTGGCGTGTGGCTAAACTATAAACATTTGATGTATTTCGCAGAAACAGTGCATTTATCAAGAGAAACATGTTTACAAGTTGACATTGAACAAAAGAAGTCTTTATTGTTAAACCTGCTTTCGTATACTGTTTTATTGATTTGTACTCTTCATTCCCAAGGAATTGATATTTATGTAAAAGAGAATACTAAATTATACTGAGTGCCAAATTTTTAAAGGCTTTTATTTATTGACTGTTATATATTATATATTTTCTCTACTAAAGCCACTGTCATATTTTGGTGGAATTTAACATAAAACAACATACCCCCCCCCCCCTCCCCCCCAGTAAATAGTAAAGTAAAGAAATTTTTTGTTTTGTGTAATGTTAGTGGTGCATCAGGCATATGATGCTGGACACACATTTTTGTAGACCATCTGCTAAAAGACAAATCATAAATGATATTCCCTGTGTGGGGCCCTATTATAGGGAAAACAAGAATAGACCCACGGCTTACCCAAAAGCATGTCGTAAGAGTCGACTAACTGGGAGCTTCCTTCGAAGTCGGAGTTAATCTGCCTGAGAGGCAAGGAACCAACAGTCTGCACACAAATGAGTCAGATCTATTAAACAGATGCACACGCAACACTCAGATTCTGAGCAGGACTGCAGTCCAGAAATGGATGAACAACCAGAACTTTTCACCAGAGTTTACAGCCGGTGAACGCGAAAAAGAAGATAAACGCAATCTTTTTTACCAAGACTGCGTTACCAATAGCACACCTGGACACTAACAACAGACCAAGAGTAGAAACTTACAGCGTGCAAAATTAGATGTTTGAGAAAAGCAGTTAACATATCAAGAAGAGAAAATAACAGAAATGATGATATCACTAAAACGGTGTAGGAGAAACCTGTAATTAGAAATATTGAAAAATCAAAAGACTAAAATGTTTTGGCCAATTGGTCAGAATGAATCCAGAATCATCGGTTGCAAGAGCATACAGCATGACAATGGAAACGTCTAAAGCAGAGGAAAGCCAAGAAGAAGAAAGATGGATTTGACAACTTGCTGAAACTCAGCAATATTACCATGCAGCATGCTAAAGAGCATGCACTATCCCATAACCAGTCATTAGACATACCTGCGACACCTAACAGCATCATGCAAAGAAAGATGACAGACAGACAGATAGATCTGGTATGTGGTCAACATCATATCGGAAACTTTCACTGTCCAGGACATTATCTGGTACCCATTTTTGGCTGGGTTGACCTGAGAGCAATGGCCAATTTTGAACAAAAGCTGCCTTGATACAGATTCATGTTCACCAGATGTAAACTCTGGTAGAAAATTCTAGTTGTTCACCCACTTCTGGACTTCAGTCTTGTTCAAGAACTTGAGTTTTACATGCACATCCATTTTACAGATCTGGCTTATTTGTATGCAGCCTGTTGGTTCCTTGCCTCTCAGCCAGAATTTACAGACTGTCAGACTAAAGAGAAGAGTGGCCTTTTATGAGATGCTGTTATAAGGGCAGTGAGTTTGTTGTTCTGTTCCCCCCCCCCCCCTTTTTTTGTGTGTGTGTGTGTGCTTCTCAGTCAAAAAAAAAAAAAAAAGATCATTAACTCTTTAAGGCCCAAACAACGGTGTGAGCGTAGTTTGAGAAGTTCCTGTCTGCCCAAACAACGGTGTCATCGTTAATTGTGTATCTCTTACATTTTGCTTCGCATGCGCATTCGTACTAGTTTCTAATGTTTGGAGGTACGAATAACCTATTCAGGGAAAGTCATTCTGCTGAAATCCTTTTAGTTTCACTTCTTGGACTAAACCACACGTGGATAATTTGAGAGAAAAAAACATCAAAATTTTTTTTACAGTTTATTTTCTAAATTCGTTTTTGAGTGCACTCAATACCAATGTTCTAACCACAAGAAAAGGTCGCAGAATGCGTCTTTCTGCTGCCAAAGCTCTGAAATTGTTTCAGTCAGATGTTTTTAATTGTGATAATGATAATAAACATTAAGATTTTTCGGAAAGTGATTCAGACAGTGAATTTTCACCAGTGAAGCTGAGCGATCAGCTGTTCGGAATCTAGCAATTCTGACGAGTTTATTACACAGACAATGTCCCATACTACCGTATTTATGGTGTAAGAGAAGGAAAGTGCTCTAAACAAAGAGATAGTACTATACTATGGCTAAGCTACATTGAAATCATCGCAGCTACAGTCTGTAAATAACTGTACAAAGTGAATAGTAAATAGTGTGTGTGTTATGGCTAATTTTTCTGCCATTTTTTCCTCTGAAATTTTTGCTTAGCACTCGGTGAGAACTAAGAGCCCCTGAGTGATAAACTAAACCAGAAAGTTATCATAACTTTAGAATATGTTAGGAAATTGAACAAACTTTGAATTTTTGTTCTCAAATTTGGATATTTACTATTCTTGTGGCTGCAAAACCATGGTAAGTGAAGAATTTTTTTGTGAAATGTTGTCCTTGTGAAATTAACACCTGCCGAATTCTTCTTTTCCACTAACTATAACAAAATTAAACAAACACTTATCATCAGATTCAGAATGTACACTCATTTCTCGTTTAAAAAATATATACTGTTATAGGGATTAGAAGTATATTACAGTCTCTACAGCCTTTCTTGTACACCCACCCCTCTGCCATTTTTGTAAAGGGAAACTAATGTGGGCCAAGTCTGTCAAAATTCATGGGCCTGAAAGAGTTAAAGTCTGAGGAGAATGGTGCTGCGAGGAGTTAACAGAGGATCTGGCCGATGCTCAACACTCAAGGGAAAGGTAATACGGATGTACAATCAGACAGTTACTGGTACCATCAGAACTGGAATTCTTTCCTTGCTGAAGATGGGGACAAAGCGCTTATGGGAAAGTCCTGAGTGCTATGATGTCAATTCTTAATTCAACATTCAGTTGTTTTTTTAAAAAGTGATAAGAGGCACAATTAAAATCACACATTTCACATTTAAACACAATTTTCAAGGCTCACATGTAAATGTTTAAAATAAAACAACTTTAATATGTAAACATTGCTCAACAAAAGCAAACAATAATTTATGGCAAACAAAAATCCTAGTGCAGTCATAGATTACTGCTGTTTGTGCTAGTAATAAAACAGAAATGTGTTATAGACTACTGCTGTTTGTGTCGGTAATAAAACAGAAATGGTCTTCAAAATGCTCATTTGTATGTCCTTGTCTTTTCACTAGCATTCTACATCCTGGACTATCTCATCCGTAATATTACACAAAGCACATGTATTTTTTGCTCCACTACTCTGATATGATGATGGGCATAGAAATATATTCCACCTTTAAGTAAATGCAACAGGAAAACGGGGCGTTACAATGCTTAAACAATCATGTGTTGTGAATAAACTGTCACAACTGTCTGTTGTCTGTCTTACCACCTTTTGAGGACGGAGTAGACAGGGGGGTCATGTGAGCCCGAGGATTTAAGGCAGCAAGGCTAGTGCTGTCGACAGGGACTGTGCAGGTAAGGATTACCCCCCCCCCCCCCCCCCCCCCCCCCCCCCCCCCCCCCCCCCCCCTCCCTCCCCAGCCCCCCCCCCCCCCCCCCCCCCCCGACAGAAATACTCTATCACCTTATCAGGGGTCGAACCCAGGTCTCCCACATGAGAGCCTGACATTGCAACATATCGGTTAAAAAAAAGGCCTCACTGTTTCCTTGCTTAAACGCAACACAAAGAAAAGAAAACAAACAACTTGAACTATAACATTTTACTTGACTGCACTATAATAACTACAACTTGAGAACTTAACAGCACAGTAACCATCAATGCTAATACTTTAGCTTTTAGGCTTCTTGCAGTTGTACATTGGAGGTGCTCTATTTAAGTAAATAACATCAGCCTTCCAAACCTGATCATTGTAAGAAAGAAAGAAAAAGAGCCAGGCATTTAAATGCATAAAGAAATTCAAGTTTATATATACTAGAGACAAAATTGCAGATATAGATAATTTATTTCAAACGAACAAAAGAAGAAGAAGAAGAATTCAATCAACATGTTCACAAAAACATCTGCCTTCCTAGTACAAAAGACTTCTTCATGTTATGGCCATATCATCCCAGTGTGGATTCCATGCCGACCTTGTGTGCATAGGGAATCCCCTGTGTCAATGTCTCAAATACTTGTTGTCATTCAGCCTAATTCTCCCTGTCTCACTCTCTTCAGAGATATATAAATCTACCTAAAAAAGCGGGCAGGTGGCAGGTAATGAGTGTATGTATATGTATATGTGGATGTGTGGTTTTTTTTTTAAGCCACTGCGCGTTTGAGTATACTTGCTGAATTTTAGTAATACAGTGCGATGGCATTTTGGTTACGAGACACCAGTAGCACACATATATCTTCTTGTAGGGAGTCGGCAGTCCAAAACCCAAGTTCAAGGTGTCTCCTTTGTGCCAAAGAACTGCATGGCTGTTGGGTGAACAGTCATTAATGAAGCCAGCCAGGCCGTTGTAGGGGCGACACTTGCTGGTGGATGTAATGTCCTAAGTCCCTCTCCAGCTAATAGTGAGGTTACTGCTGTGGTGACCGTTTATTAACCCTCACATAATGCTTCCGGTCAAAATGGACGCTAGGCACGGCCACTGTTTTGAGCCGTGGCAATTATTTTTTGCTTCTGCCAGGCGGTGGCCGTTGCAATTTTGCTCCATTTGTAGACTGGAAGGATATAGTTTTGTTGCCCAGCTTCTGAGTTAAGTGCATGGTGTGACACTGTGAGCTGCAGATTTCATTTGGAATGTTTTTCGACTGTGACCAATTTGGTGGTGTGAATTGTAGATTCAGAAAATGGCGCCATGCCAAAGTCGCAATATTGGTAGTGCCATTATGTGATTAAAGTTGATTGTGTGTGCAAGTGCTGAATTGTTGGTGACTTCTGCTAGTCACAAGTGCTACCATCCTAGATGAGCTGCATGTCTAATGTCAGACTGTTTGTGTTAGCACTTCGGATGGCTACCGTATGCTTTTAATGCGTGTGTTTGCTACTGCATATGCTGAGACAGCAGTCTGTCAATCTTTCCACAAGGGACTGTGATAAACATTCTGTGCATTTTTCGTTGGCACAGGAGCGGAGCAACAATGGGGTGACCCGTTTGCTATGAAGCTGAAACTAAGATTACTAAATTACCAGGACCCCCTTTTTCATTCATTCATTATCCTGTTGTGCCATTATATGTCACATAGGGCTCGCAGTCTATTCCTCCATTCCACACTATCTCGTGCAATGAGTTCAATGTAACGGATGGAATCTAGTCCAGCAGCTTTGGCCTTTCTCATCAACATTCATATTAGGGTTTTTTGGGGCGGCCTCGGCTCTTTAATCCTTTTACTTCCCATTTTAGTCCCTGTTTGGTGATTCTCTAAAGGTTTCTTATCAGGACGTGCCCAACGTAGCACAATCTTCTCTGTCTTATAACTGTGTTACTAGTGGTTGCCCAGGCATTGCTCTTATTACTTCACTCCTTTTGAATTCATCCCATAATTTTTTAAATCTCTATGAAATATAGGACCCCCTTTTAGCAAAGGAGATGTGCAAAAAATTATTGGAACCAGTATCCCAGGAAAACTCTGTTGGTAACTATAGTAATTTTCTATAAATTGTAATGTAACATTGTAAATACTTTTTTTTTAAACTTACTGCTCCCCAGGTGACAATGAAAGACAGAATGCTGGCACCAAGTGTCATATTTCGCTTGGCGTTCTGCTTGTTGTATGCCTCCTGCCAACAGCCTTCAGGGACCGGCAGGCAATCCATGTGGCTTTTATTCTCTAGACAGATTTCTCGCATTGATTTCCAATGATGTGGAACTCCATGACCACTACGGCTTATGGGCTGCATGACTGTGGTTATGAAATAACACCAATAAATAAGCATAATACACATTCTTGCAGTAGAACATAAAGCATAAGAGATCTATAAGGCAAACTAAAACTATAAATACCTATAGGTTCTATATAAACTCATTCAATTCAGACAAGGAAGGCTGCGTGGTCCCAAGGCATGGTGTCCGCCTCGTACTAGAGATTGCGGGTTCAATCCCCGGTAAGAGCTGGGATTTTTTCACGTGGACTTGGACCTCTAGCAATTCCCCCTGGTCTCTAGGTAGTGAGATCGGACGCCCGTGTGCATTGTTGCGCACATAAAAAATCCCTTGGCAGTTGAAAATCGAAAAGAGTAGCCTAACGATACTGCCCGGGCAAAATTTATAATTCAAAATCTACCCAAAGTATTTCAGAATCCTCCCTGGTACTAAAGAGCATGTGCACTGTGCTGAGCTTCTTTGGACTCAGACTTGAGTTAGAAAGAAAAAAACGGAGCACTTATGGGTTACTACTCGTGTGCCATGATGTTGATCCGTTGTTCAAAACCCCCAAAACCTCAATTCAGTCATCACAACACTTTAACACAAAGAATTCCCAGCACAATTTACTGCCAGTATCTCGATAGGTGTAGTTGCAGAATTAATGTCAACATATTATAAAGCATAAAATATTAACTTTTTGCAACTGATAGACACAAATCTCGTTATCTCTTGTTACACCATACATCTCGCCATTTTTTGTATGTATGGAAAATATTAAAATGAAATAAAATATTATGAGTATAAGTTTAGAATGTTGAATTAAGAATTGACATTACAGCACTCGGGACACTCCCTTAAGTGCTTAGTCCCCATCGTCCACAACAAGCAAAGAGTTCCAATTCAGATGGCACCAGTATCTGTCTGATCTCACCCTTCCCCTGAGAGTGGATCGTCTGCCACATCCTCTGGTAACTCCTCACAGCACAATTCTCCTCAGACTGTAATGATCTATCTGTGCCTATGCACTGTTCACTTGCTCCCAAAAGACCCTCACAATATCTAGCTTATCATACATCAATTCACCACCCAGTGGTGCAAAGCCAGCCAGTCTATCACCGGGTACGCTGGTGTGTTGGGAAATGAACAGGCGGACAGACTGACAGGCTCTGCGCAACTTGGTAGAATACTGATACATGATAAGGCAGACGTGGTTAGTGCCTTGTGGGAGAGCGTGTACAGTTCGGAGGAGCAGATGGATCATCACAGTCTGGTGAGATTGATGCAGGGGGGGAGTGATGAGAGGTTCTGACAGATGCTCGAGAGTCAGAGGAAAGGCAAGACGGATGTTTAATCAGAATGCTACTGGCAACATTAGTATCAGAATTCTTCGCTGGCTGCTGAAGATGGGGACGGAGCGCTTATGGGAATTCCCCGAGTGCTGTGATGTGGGTTCTTGAATCAAATCAATCAATCAATCCCCAAAACACTGGCACTCCTGGAGAAAATATCCAAAGAGTACTGAAGTGATGTCTGCCACTCTGCAAAGAGCATACCTGTTTCCACCTTTCTCAACATGCTCTGTAAGCAGTTACAATGATGACATGTGTGTACAGCTAGTTCTCAAGTCAGCAGAAGGCTGCAGTGACTGCCTACAACTGCATTCTCAAACTAGATGTTGGTGAATCATATGCCAGATTTTATTGCACTAAGTAACGTCCATTCACTTTTGCTATAAACTCCCATGCACGTCTTCTGTCTCTCAACAATCAGCCATCTGTATAGGTGATAGATCATATCACCTGGGCGAGAATTGTCATAAATCATTTGTTAAACTGATTCTGCAGTGCCAAGTAGCCAGTTCCTACACTCACAGCCCAATGAGACTAGAACCCCACACATCGGCTCTTACAACCCTACTGTCCAGAGAGCATCCAACAGAAAACAGCCTACGTTTCTGGGTTGATGGCAGCACCCATCTCTGCTCACCAGTCAGTCACTTTCTCTACATTTGCCTGTAGCTGTCTGAAATTACAGAATCATGTGGTAGTCTGGGCTGCTATTTCATGGTTCTGAAGTCCATGTACCCAGGTGGAGGGCAGCAAAACATGAATGCAGGACAGCTGCTATACAGTTTACCAGCCAGGGAGACACCCTGCCTTGAGCGCAGACATCAATATGTCATAACTGACTCTACTGCCATAAAATAAATATAGAAGTACAATACCTTGGAATTCGAACACCTGAAAGTTTGGACAACTTAGAATCCAAATGACATTTTAACTAAATTTGGCCTTTTAAGCTGAATGACACCATGGAAATCAAACACCCGCCATCCATGTGATACCACAACACATCACAATCTATGCTTCAGTTTGTTTTCATATGCTGTGTCGAATGCGCCTGTCTCGGCTCGTCACCTTGGCACCGTGATGCAGTCTTAGTTGACAAGTGTCATAACTTATTCAATGATAACATTCTTGAACATTTTACAATCATTAAAATTAGTCACCAGCATCGCAGTACATTGGAACACTGGCTTTCAACAAAAACTAATGATCCTAAAATTCTCCACAAGTTGTGAAAGACTACAATATGAAACACCAGAAAAGATTCCTGATGTTATCATGGATGGTGACTCATCTAAATCCTCCTTCCTTCTCCTACTTCTATGTGCGTCATCACCACTTTTATAAGGTACAGTAGATACAATGTATTTTCTAAATACAGTGCAGATTTGATAAGGATAACTCACCAAGGACCCAAGAAATCTTAATCTTATCATAAATTCCTCTTATCCAGTCCAGATAATAGCACAAGCATATGATAATTGCCAGGAATAATCAAACTCTGTTCTTTACAACAGAAATTTGCCACATTCAAGATCTTTTTAAGCAACTGTATCTTTTTTATTTATTTATGTTTTTACTCAAATTGTTACTTTATTCACAGTGTACTTAAACTTATTTAGGAAAATAAATTGTTTAATTTTAGTTTGTTAGACTCCCCTTGTGGGTTCCAGGGTCCCACTGTGGGGAAACAAGAATAGACCCACAAAAAGTCAACTATTTGGGAGCTTTTTTCGAAGTTGGAGTACACCTGCCTCAAGCAATGAACCAACAGTCAGCATGCAAAAAGTTAGATCGGTGAAACATATGTGCACGCAACACTCAGTTTCTGGAACAGGTCTAGGGTACAGAATTGGATGAACAACCAGAACCTTCCGCCGGAGTTTAAAGACGGTGAACGCGAAGAAAATATTTGTTGGACACTCAGGTTAATTTTTTTTTAAAGTAGAAACTAAATTAATCTATTCCAGTTGACACTGGAACAGATTAATTTAGTTTCAAATTTTTTTTTTTTTCGATTGGAGAGACTGCTTAGAACTTGAAGGATCTGGAATTTGATCTCAGAACAGATTATGTTCGAATTGCGAGGTTTATTAGAAGTAACGGTAACGGCTGATTTTTTAAACTTTAATACAATCAAAAATAACATACAAAACTGGACTGAAATGAACTGCAATAAAAGACTGCACACATGATTAAAAACTTAAAACTTACGAGAGGTTGCACGTAAAACTGGCACAACTTTTGTTAACATGATTATTATTATTATTCTCAGCAAAGAGATGATTTAAATCTCGTTTCTTCGTTCTGTCAATCAGACTGTCCGTTACCGGCGCGACTCAACTGTCCTTATTTAACCCAACCTCTGAAAGCAAAACAAAAGTATCGCTATAAATATGTAAACAATATGATAGAAAGAGACGTCAATATTATTTACATCACACAATATGTATGTATGTCAAGGTTTACGTATGTACAAATTACACAAATATCAAATTTACCAATTGTCATTGTTTAACTGTACTCACTTTCACTGTTTCAACAACGAACTTTGCGTATATTGAATCACAGGCATTTTCTCGTCTGCTTCATGGAATTATATAAAAACTAGAAACCGGCAAACGCCATGGAACACAACAAATAAACCATTACTAACAAATGGATCGTTTTTCTTGGTGCGATGGGAGTCTTTACCCCGATGAAACTCTCGTTGAACAACAGACTGGGGTAGCAGTATATGATGGCCAGGATAAGGTATTTAACACTATATGTCAGTAATATTCCTTGATTCACATATGGATTAGTAATCCAATATTTACATATTAAATATACACATCGGTAGGCGGGCCAAACAATTTCTTGAGGCCTCAGAGATGTGGTTTTACAGAACTTAGAAGAATGCTTAGAATACCTTGGACAGCCAAAAAGAGCAACCAATAGGTTTTTAAAAAGGCCGGAGCCCGAAGATAACTTATCACAGACATCAGAAGGAGACAGTCATTGAGAAGAGGACAAATAGAACATGTTGTTACCACTGGAAAGATCGGCTCTCCTAGCAGATTTGGCCGGCAAGCTGGTCTGCTTCGGCCGGCTTAGTGGGAGTTATGTCCCTTCGCCAAACTCAAAACAAGTCGCGGAAAAAGTCACGAATCAAATGACATACTTACCTATCATCATCCGGGTGCGTGTAGGGTTGCGTAGGGTGTCTATCATCGTCCTACGGTTGCGTGTAGGGCTGCTTATTGCGTGTAGGTTGGTTGTTTGCGTAAGAAGAGGGGTAGGGTTAGGGGTATGGTTCGATTTGAAAATTTTCACGTAGGAGGTTGAAATAGTGGCCGACAATCTGACGTTTGTGGGAGTGGCGCCACTGAAACTCTGCCAAATATGACGCCGTAGTTACCTATACTCGCGCACAGTCGCATGCACGCGCAAACAGTCGACGGACGGTGGATGCTACTGACACAGACAATTCGCCAGCGACTGGGCACCAGCCACCTGCTATTGGCGTCATATGTGGCAGAGTTTCAGTGGCGCTACTCCCACAAGCATCAGATTGTCAGCCACTATTTCGACCTCCTACGTGAAAATCTTCACATCTAACCATACTCCTAACCCTAACCCTAAACCCTAACCCTAACGCTAAACCCTAACCCTACCCATCATCTTACGCAAACAACCAACCTACACGCAATAAGCAGCCCTACACGCAACCGTAGGACGACGATAGACACCCTACGCAACCCTACACGCAACCGTAGAATGATAGGTAACCCTAGACGCAACAGTACGCAACCCTACACGCACCCGGATGATGATAGGTAAGTATGTCATTTGATTCGTGACTTTTTCCGCTCATTGTTGTGAGTGCGGCCAATGGACATAACTCCCACTAAGCCGGCCGAAGCAGTCCAGCATGCCGGCCAAATTTGCTAGGAGAGCCGGATATTCAGTGCGGCATGGGTACAACAAACTGCTCCCATTGACTGGCAACATGCAATAGTTGTACCATTGTGGAAGAACAAGGGAAGCAAGCGAGAATGCAATCAGTATCAAGGCATCTCTTTTCTAAGTCATGTTGGGATAATGTATGCAAAGATATTAGAAAAGAGGCTGCGACCAGTGATAGATCCACAGTTGACAGAAGAACAGATGGGTTTCAGAAGAAACAGAAGCTGCACAGATGCAATCTTCACACTTAAACAGTTAATAGAAAAGAACATCGAATATAATCAGAACTTATAGCATTTGTAGACCAGGAGAAAGCTTTCAACAGGTGTCTGAGAAAGGCTGTAGGAGTGACCAAAAAAGATAAAATCAGGAATGAGGTCATACGAGATAAAGACGGCACAGAACCAATTTTAAATTAAATACAAAGACAGCAAATCAAATGTGGTTTGCCTACTTGGAGAGAATGCCTTCTGATGTTATACCATACAAGGCATATACCAAAAGAGGAGGACGTAGAGCAAGAGGGAGACCAAGAACAAAATGGAAAGATAACATCAGAGAAACTCTACAGCACCACGATGGGTCAAAGCAGTCAGAGCACGAAGCAGGACCTTATAACTCTCTTGACACCTGAAGTGATAAAAGAGGATATACAGAAAGAAGAAGAGTTGTGAAACAATTTGCATGATATTAACAGGTGGCTGCGAACTCCCCGAGCTGTATGGGGAATGTGAGATCCACATGTAACTGACTGCGAGTAAGAAGAGTCCCTTGGTAGTTTGAGTGAGTCAGTCAGGCTAACTGTGTGGATGTGTGTGGAAATTGTTTTTTGAGTCCAATGGATGCTTGGACTGTGTCTTAGCAATGTTATTTTCTGTCCGGATGACTGGTGAATTCAAGCATGATGTCGGAATTCTGTGGGATTTTTTAGAATGGATGGTTGTGTGGCCCATATGTGATGAGGGGCCGGCACATTCAAAATAAAGACTAATCACAACACTACACTTGATAGCAGTACCTGTTAGACACTGCTCGTTGGTTTACAATAATTCATGTACGTGGAGCCATTATTAGGACAGTGAGATTGTCTGCTGTACAGGCAGACTAGAGAGTGTAGGTGCACATACTAGAGAGAATTGATTCCAACCAATATGGCTCTGAGCTCTGCCTTCATTAGTGTACCTACCACCAAGACCAGGCTAATGGGTAGAGAACAAATAGAAGCAACCTGCTCTTACAGGTTGGGGGATGAAGCTTGGGGCCGACTCAGAGCTGTCTTAATATCATTCTGGGCCCTGAGCAAACCTACTGTCATCGGGCCCTGGGCAAGTGCCCGGCGGGCCCATGGATTAGGGCGGCCCTGCCGACACTCCCATCTTTGTGAAACCTTTTTTTATCACAAATCAGATATCCAAGACTCAGTTTCGGATACATTTGAATGAATTGTGGAGAAATAAAATCCATGCAGACCTACAAACACTTGTAGTCACCAACTGGAAAGAGTAGGCCAATCAGGAAGATGAATGGAGGAAGGTGATATATACACCAGTGAACCTCAAGGGCTCAGAATACTGAAAAAGAAGAGATACAACTCTGCACTTGACCCGGCCTCATAAAAGTAAGTACCAATTTCCAGAATGCTCTAAGGACTGTGGGCAAGGGGAAGAATAACGTTGAATGTAACTAGCAGTCCTACCTCATACATCCTGGCCTGGAATATGAAAAGATGTAACATTTTATCTTAGTGGCAGTGTTTGCTGTGGGACTATCGTTTTTGCTTTACACATTGGTATATTTGATTGTTTTATTAAATATTTCAGACTGCTTTTAGTAATGGCATTCTCATGCTTACAACTCACCGGCTACTTTGGAGAGACCAAAGGAATCGGGTAAATATTTCAAAAGTTTTAGTATATAAAACAATAAATAAAATAAATCTTTTGCATTCACCTGGAGACCTAAATTGTTGTGCCTTTTTTACAACTTGGTTGGAATATTTGCGTCTTTTGACCAACAGTCAACTTCTCCAGGCATTTGTTGCCCTGGTTAGCCTTTCCGCTTTATAATTTATTTTATTTGTCATCTTTCATGAAGAGTAGCCTGGCTCGCTAGCATAGTCGGTTAAACCTGACTTCACGGCGACCGGGTGACGGACTCCTTGTGGTCAGGTTCACGCCCGGGGTTTGGCAGAAAAGTCACATTTCTCCTAGATTTACGGTATCTATCATGGAATCAAGGTCGAAGAGTTGCGATATCCATAGTACCAAACCAAAGGGTTGACAGGTCATGGTTGCTGGATATTTAAAAAAAAAAGGTTGAATTCATTCAAGAAACGTTAATAAATAAGGCATTTAACGTTTACTGATCTATTATGGATATTCTGTTAACATTTTCCTAATTAGAACTCTATTAAAGTTAAACCAGTATGTCTACATACTCTACATTTTTTTTTTCATATACTGTGATTTGTTTTAGGGTTTTTGAGCAAAAATTTCATTGCTTGCAAGTAATTATTACTATAGCAGTAGAGGTTGCCTAGAACACTGCTTATAGAGACCCTTCTCTTCTACAAGAACACAGGCCTAATCTGTGACTCTGATGATCATATAAGACTATGACTACATTTCAGTAGGGCAAAAGATAATAGTGTAAACATAATGAACACAGCTTGTTATACATTTAACCCCTTTTACCCCCAAGAAGCCTGTATCTAATCACATCCAGTTGGACCGATCCATAAATGCCAATATGTGGCTTTGTCTGCAGTGACCTGTCGATAAGTGTGGTTAAAGTCCACTGGTCCAGTGTGTACCTGCTTGATGTTTAATAGACCAGGATCGAAATATAGCAACTAAAAATTCTGTATAACCCCAGTCCATCATAACCATTGTCCCATAACACTGCATGTCGTTTGATTAACATTGACTGTTCACTGTCTGCTCCCTTCACCTTGCATTGGACCCTGCCAGAGTTGAAACACTGCACAAGATGCACCATGTTGACTAATAGATCGGATGATCCAAGTGGCTTTTGAAAGTCAAGTCGGGTCAGATTTTCCTATAAGCCTCAGTGATAGAGTCTTCAAATGAGTCACTTTTTTTGTTTTTTAATCACCCTAAGAAATGTTTATTGATTACCCCTTTAATATCTTTTTCCCTCTCTCTCTCTCTCTCTCTCTCTCTCTCTCTCTCTCTCTCTCTCTCTCTCTCTCTCTCTCTCTCTCTCTCTCTCTCTCTCTCTCTCTCTCTCTCTCTCTTTCTCTCTCTCTATATATATACACATATATATATATATATATATATATATGTGTGTGTGTGTGTGCGTGTGTGTGCGTGTATGCATGCGTGTGTGGGGTGGTTTATAAATCTGATTGCCTTCTTCTTTATTTCCTCTTTTGCCACTTCAAGTGTCGAGGGAGATATAATGTCCTGTTTCTTGCTTTTCTGACTTTTCGTGGTGCTGTAGAGTTTCTCTGATGTTAACTTTCCATCTTGTTCTTGGTCTACCTCTTGCTCTACATCCCTCTCCTCTTTTGGTAAATGCCTTGTATGGTATAGCATCAAAAGGCTTTATCTCCAGGTGGGCAAACCATTTGATTTGTTGTCTTTGTATGTAATTTAAAATTGGTTCTGTACTGACTTTATCTCGTATGACCTCATTCCTGACTAAATCTCCTCTGGTCACTTCTACAGCCTTTCCCAGACACCTCATTTCCATGGTAACTAATTTTCTTGTATGTTTTGTTGTGAGTGACCATATCTTGCACTGGTAACATAGGGTGGGAATGAATATGCTTTATATGAGATGTCTCTTTGTGCTGACTGAGATTGCCTTATGCTGTAAAGAGGGTGGGAAAGGAGGGGGGGGGGAGGAGACTAGCTGTCCCAATATTTGGGAATGTGAATGTAGATTTTTTTTAAAAATTTTAGTATTATTTTTAATAACCTGTGTAATAAGTTAAAAAAAAAATTTTTTTATATAAATATCTGGAAATTGCTACTAGTTCATGACACTTTCTTTTTTTTTTCTCTCTTTTTTTTATTTTTAGCATTTGCAGGAGTAAAAGGGTTAATATCATTTTTATTTATCTCATTACAGAATTGTGTGATCAGTCTTCCTCTGGCAAGCATCTCCAACCTTGAAGAACAGCCATCTAGTTTCACTAAAAGGTATGACGTGATCTTCATAGCTAACACACATACTGTATAAAATAGCAGTTGTTTTGCAATTGCCATGCAGAAGTCATAGAACAATGTAGTAAATACTGCCACATGGTGTAAAGTGGGTTACACCTAGGTGTATCACTCTTCCCAGGCCATAATAATCTAGTTTCTCTCTGACTTCGTTACTTTTTCCCAAAGGGCCTTGACCACATCTGCCAAGTCATATATCAGTTCACCACCCAATGGTGCAGATCCAGCCAGTCTATCTGACTGTTAATTCCCCACCCATGCCAACATGGCGTGGAGAAAATATTCAAAGTATACTCACTACCCATGACCTCCCAAGAGAAGCTTGCCACTCTGCTCGAAGCATCCCTGTCTTTACCTTTCTCAGCATGCTTTCAGAGTCTGTTACAATTACAACATGTTTATGCACTTGTTCTCTAGCCACCGGAAAGCCGCAGTGACCACCTTCACCTCCATTCTCATGCTAGATGTTGAATCATTTCCTAGGTCACTGTTTCTGTGAGTTAATATGTTCTTTTACCTTCCTTGTTGCCTTAAAATAACAATGCAGCCTCAGTATTGAACCCTTTCCTTCTGGAACCAATAAGGTTCTATTCATATTTTTCTTGAGAAAAAACATCTAATCAGCCATTCCTGAAACCATGCGCCTCACGCTATAAAAACTGAGGTCGAAGAGAAAATTTCTGTCAGTGCATATTCCTGCCCAAATGTGAAGTGTCTTTTAGTGATTTTATTTGCTGATGCTCCAGCTGACACTTCAGGCTTGTAGGATGAGCTGGTGGAGGAATTGAGTTATGCTGCAGTGAAGTTCTTGCTTCCTAACACAACTCTTCTATTCAAGCTTATTGATCAGCAGGTCATTATGAGCTTTTAGAAACTACACCAAAACACTTTCAAAGGTGTTTTGACACAACATCTGACGCATAGTTAATACTTGGTGGAGAATTCTGGAAATGTCCTCCATTGTTAAAGCATCATTGACAAAGCTTGAGTACAGGTGACTTACAGGACCACAAACTTAGCCTGGAAAATCTTGAATTAAGAATCGACATCACAGCATTTGGGACACCCCCATAAGCTCTCTGTCCCCATCTTCAGCAGCAAGCGAAGAGCTCCAATTTTGATGGTACCAGTAATTGTCTGATTGTATATCTGTCTTGCCTGTCCCCTGAGTGTCAAGCATCGGCCAGATCCCCTTGTAACTCCTTGCAGTCGATTCTCCTCAGACTGTAAAGATCTATCTGTTTCTCGGCACTGTTCACTCACTCCTAAAGGGCCTTCACAGCATCCAGCTTGTCATACATCAGTTCACCAGCAAGTGGTCCAGAACCAGCCAGTCTATCTGCATGCTCATTTCCCAACACACCGGTATAACCTGGAGAAAATATCCAAAGGATGGCCTGGAAAAAAACATGATTGCCCGGCTGTGTAGCAGACAAAGACATGAAAGGGTTTGGAGCAGAGTCTGTTACTATTATAATTTATGTCTCTGGGCAGTAACATGGGATGAAAATTTGACAGTGCTGATAGGGAGACGTTAGTGGAGGACCACAAGAAGGAGTTTACCAAAGAAGAACTGGAACTGAAGGAGCAGAAAAACATTACTCATCAGTTTTTATTTATGACATCGACCCACCTTTGTGCAGGTAAAAAGAGGTTACAAAAGTAAAGTAAAGGACCGTTTCCATGCCTCCAGGCCTACTTGGCATATCTGGCCTGAACTATCGCCGGCTGCCTTTACTTCCCCGGGCTTGTACTTCGTACCCACTCAAGCTGGGTGTCAAGGTCATTTTTTGTAAAAATCAATCCGGCTTCCTCAGGGTCCGAGACCATGACCTTCTGATCCGTAGGAAGCATCTAGCCGCTACACCACAGCCACTTCCAGCAAATGCATACTACCCCTCTTAAATTGAAATTCTTAGCCACCATTTGGATGATGTAATCTTTTGTTTAATCATTGCAACAATATTTTCTCCTTGTTGCCATTTGAATTGTAGATTCTATGAGTGCAGGTAGATGCTTTATAATGATATGAACAGAACACATTTTTTTTTGTTATTGTCCTATTTATAATCATAAAGACGACCCATTATTTTAATTTTGTTTTGGTTATGAAATTATTGACTAGGACTGGTAATTAACCCCACCTTCCCCATCTCGGTTCCATAGCCCTATTTCGAGAGAAAAAAAGTAGATCAACATCAACAGACACCCCCCCCCCCTCCACACACACACACACACGCACGCACGCACTCCCCCCACCCACACACACACACACAGAGAGAGAGAGAGAGAGAGCATGTTCCCGAAGATGACTAATTAGGGGTGTTTTCTTAGAAGTCGGAGTACATCTGCTGAGGAGCCAACATGTGGATACAGATAAGCCAGATCTGTAAAACAGAAGTGCAAGCAAAACTCAAGTTCAAAAAAAAAGACCAGAGTCTAGAAGTAGATGAACAGCCAGAACTTTCTGCAGGTGTCTACAGCTGGTGAACAGTAAGATATAGTGGATCTAATTAGGTTAGATTTAGACGACGGATCAGCATCATGGCAAAAGGGTAGTAACCCATAAGTGATCTGTTCTACTTCTGACTCAAGCCTGAGTCCAAAGAATCTCAGTACAGTGCACGAACTCCGTAGCACCGACGAGGATCCTGAAATACTTTGGGTCGATTTTTAACTCCAAATTTTACTTGGGCAGCGCTGTTAGGCTACTCTATTCCGATTTCCAGCTGCTAAGGAATTTTTTACATGTGCAACAATACACAGTGGTGTCTGATCTTACTACCCAGAGACCAGGGAAAATTACTAGAAATCCATGTGAAAAAATCCCAGCTTTTACCGGGGCGTGTACCCAGGACCTCCAGCATTCGAGGCGGATGCCATGCCATGAGACCACCTAGCCACCCCCCACCCCCATCCCCGGTGGATCTTACTACAAATCAGCTGCAGAGGCAGCGGCTGCTATTGTTCCTGCTGGACTTTAAAAACTGTCTATCGGTTAATCAGTGGCCATTCTCCACATTTAAAATATTGACTGCAGTGGACCACTAATGTTCAGTGCCTCTCACCTTGACTGAATACTCTCCTAGGCTTCTGTTTGTCCATCTCTTGATGTTATCTTGCCAGTTGTATTACTGTCCACCTATTGCCTACCTGCTTTTAGTTTGTTCATGTGTGCAAATCAGATGCATGATTTTATGTTGCAGTGCAAAAATTATTGTCCATCTACTACCAGCCATTCCTGGGAGACCACCAGGTCCAGTGACTCATAGCTCTCACAGCTACATTCGACTCTCATTTCGGGAGTTGGGGCAAGAACAGGTAGGAGTAGTGTTATATTGTTATCTTTTACAGGGTGAAATTTTCCTATGGTGATATATTCTATGTATAATAAGTACAATAAAACATCGTTAACAGGAATTTTTAGGGACTGAAAACTCGAGTTTATTTTTTTTATTTTGTTATTTATGCTAACCGGGTACTAATAACAATAACACCTGCTTGTTGGGAAGAAATTTGTTTTTTGTGTTAACCAAATGTTCTTCTTGAGCAAGTTCATGTTAACATGGTTTTACTGTGTGTGTGAATGTATATGTATGTATATAAATAAGTAAAAATTATAGTAAAGGACTATTTTCCATGCCTTCAGCTGTATTGGGCATATTGGGCTAGACTTTTTTAGCTTTTTATAGACCATTTGGCACTCTGTGGTTGATGTCGTCTGCATCACGTCTGCCACCTTTGCTTCTCGTGATTTTTACCTGGTAGCCATTTAAGGCTGGGTCGACCTTTGAACCAAAGTCACTTTTGAAAAAGGTATGGCTCTGTTTGGATTTGAACACACAACCTTCAGATCCGCCGGCTAGTGTCTAGTTGCTACAGGATGGCAGCTTCAATATGTATAGATTTAAATATATATTTTTTTATTTATCGATCAGCATGTACTTTACAGACTGTCGCTCCTTTCATGACACGCCTAAAAGTCTCTCTTTCTCTAGCCAAATTTCCAGCCCTGTGTGCTTTCATAGGACTTGACTTTCAAAAGCCACTTGGATCATCCGATCTATTAGTCAACATGATGCATCGGTGTGTTTTTGTCCTAAATGAAATTGTTGGTCACCTCTCCAGTTTGCCTGAAATTATTGTTTTTAATATAATGTTGTCCCTATTGTGGGGGAAAACAAGAATAGACCCACTGCCTTCCCAGCAAACATGTCATAGGGGTCAACTAACTTGTGACTTCCTTCGAAGTTGGAGTGCATCTGCCTGAGCAGAAAGAAACAACTAACTGCACATAACTAAGCCAGTAAAACGAAGGTGCACTCTAAACTCAGGCCCTGACACAAAGCCAACGTCCAAATGGACGAACAACCAGAACTTCCTCCTAAGCTTACAGCCGGCAAACAGAGAAGAAGAAATAATGTTGATCTAACTGAAGTGGTGCAATAAGAGGAATAAAAGTCCACAACATATGAACAACAAAAGTGTATATTCAGATTATTAACAATTAACCCACCTCATTTGATTCAAATTTTTAGTGTTTATAATGTATTCATTAGCTATTTGATTTTACAATTGCTTTGTTTCTTGACTTTTTCAGTTTCTTCGTGCATTGAAGGAGGAGCTGAAGAAAAAGAAGTGGGAAGAATATGTTCCACCAATACCTTCATCTAGTGTTACATCCAACCCTTCTGGTCTTGTAAGTATAACTTCACTTTGAAAAGTAAATTCTGAGATCTGTTTTAATTCTTTCAGTCACAGAAATTATTGTCAAATACACAAGAGAAAGCATGATGACAAATTACAAAATGATAGGAGTAGCTCTTGACAGAGTAAAGTGTCTATACACTTGGTTTTAAGCAAATAAATTATAAGGTTTTTAGGTTACTCTGACTGAATTTAATTACGTTTACAGATGAAATGTTGATTAGTGTAGATATATAATAGTTAGAAACAAACAGGCAGAGGAATTGGCTGGTTAGGAATTGACGCATGACAAGGTGGATGTGATCAAGATCCTTGGGGAACAAGTGACCAATGCAGAAGATGGAATAGAACATCATGGTCCAGAGAGAATGGTTCAGTGGGGAATGACCATGACCAGGTGATCTAGCAGATACTCAACAGTCAGAGGAGAGGCAAGATTAAATTGTGGTTTCACCCTGGATAGTTAATGAAAACGTAATTTTCCCCGTTGTCTCCACCGCCACTTTATGTTTATTCATTGCCCTAAGGCTTAACCCGACCCAAATCAGATTTCTACAAGCATAATTAACTCTGGACTAGCTGCTAAAGATGGAAATAGAGTGCTTGTATGAATGTTTTGAGGCTGTGATGTTGGTTCTTAATTAAATTCCACTGGTCATTTACACACAGGTGTTTTTTTTATGTTCGCCCAGGACTGCTATCTGTAGGATTAACATCTCATGGATGAAAATCAACCAGAAGCAGAACCTAGAAACCAGGTTCAGCCATTTAGCTCAGTTATATTGGGATATTGGGGCACCCTACATTTACAAAATTACCCTCCGGTAGGTGGGGATCAGCAGCATCAAGATGCTTGCCTTTTTATCTGAAGGTTGTGGGTTTGTGTCCTGATGGAGCGGGATTTTTGTTTCTTTTTCAAGGCCCATGGTTGAGCCTTCCCTGATGATGGTTTTATATAATCTCTCTTGGTCTTCCCTTTTTTCTTTTCCTTTCCGGTGTTCATATGAGGGCTTGATGGGGACGTCTTGTCTTATCCATTCTGTGTGCATGGCCGATGTAGTTCCAGTGGCGCTTTTTAAAATAAAATTGGATACATCATCTTGCTTGGTCTCAGTGGAGATTTAGTATGCTTTAAAGAGATTTGTTCTCAAAACTGTCTACTTTTTTATCTAGAGCTACCATTGCTTTCCAACCCTCGCAATTCATAAGTCAGCATTGGAATCACACAAAATTTGAAGATCTTAAGTTTTGCATGATTGCTGAGTGTCTTTGACTTCCAATCATTGCTATCACATTATTCAGTCTGCAAAATTGATGTGCAGTTTATGAACATATACCTCAACTATGATATAAAGATGTGTGTGCAAGCGGGGCTTGATTGATACAGGCATTAAGCTGAATTCATGGGAATAAAATGCCATGGACCATCTTGCATGGAAGGGGCACATCAGGAAGGAAATGAAAATGAAAGAAGTTTTTGCAGAAAGAATGAAAGCTGAGTGTGTGGGAAGAAACAGACTACTTACCAATGATGGCAGCAGTGGTTCTGAAATCCCATGCTATAATTTGGAAAAACTGTGGGCGGGGCTTGCTTGTCTCGCTCGCTAGTGCCATGGGCTGTGAGTCCCATGCCTCCTTATCTCGTACAGTATAATAGTATCATCTGGAATGAGGGAAAGGTGCCAACAATATACCTCTAAATCATGATTTGTTAAGAAAACAGTGACAAACTACTGAATGTAAAAATTTGCCTAGAAAAATCACGACAGCCAAAAAATGCTGGGGTTGGTTCTGCAACGTCCTCTAAAACATATGCAACTAACTTAAAGTCACTGTAATAGCAACCATATCATCGCTCACATACTGAAAATATGGCCCTCACAGGATATTCTAAATATCCTTTAATAGCATGCCTTTTATTTTCCTGACCTTTAAACCTAGTGGAGTACAGGCTCTCAGCCAACTATGGCAAGTCATCCTTTCTTGTTCTGTCACATGTATCTGACCCTGTGGTCCTCCCCAACTTTCTCACCTCCCTCTTTAATCATTCCTTTGTTTGACTTGTTCATAGTTGATTAGTTTCTGTGGCTGCAGTGTGTTAAGGGAAGATGTAGTTAACCCCAACCCTAGCTGCCTCTGAGGGCATGCCTGGTAGGGTGCAGTGTTACTACTCTTTCCCAAAAGTTCCAGTAACACACTAGTGACATGTAATCATTTACATTTTGTCCCTGTGTGGGTTCTGGGTCCCCAGCCACAACCCCTCACCCCCCCCCCCCTACCCCTAAACAAGCATGTTGTAAAAGTTGACTAATTATGGTTGATTCCTTCAGTCAGAGTACATCTGCCTGAGAGTACCCAGAGGAACCAACATTGCATTCAAAAAAGCCAAATCTGTAGAACAGATGAGCACATAAAACTCATTTTCTTGAACAAGACCGAAATCCAGAGGTGGATGAAAGACCAGAACTTTCCCCCATAGTTTACAGCCTGTGAGTGCGAAGAAGAAGATTTACATTTTAAATTAATAACTGCAACTTTGGCAGAGTACAAGACCATTTTTTATGCTTTCAGTATATCGATTTAGCCTCATATCTTTATAGGCTGGCATCAAAGGCAATGAAAGCAATGATGCTTTAGCCAAGGAAGGAAGCAGCAAACCATAATTCTACCAGCCACTATCTTTTCCAGAAGTCAAAATCCTCATTAAGAGAAAATCAGAAGCAAGTTGGAAAACTAAACAGGTTGTAACCATGAAATAGATTTCTTCAAAGACCTCAACAGAACAGGCCAAGTCACAGTTTTTTACTTACGCACTGGACACTGCAGACTCAACAGACATTGCGTATTCAGAAATTATGTGTGAGCCAAACAGCTCTCTGCCAGTGTCTTCATGCTGAACAGACTCCAGAACATGTCTTACAAGACTGTCCTCTCTTGGCAGAGCTGTGAAGCAACATGTGGCCACACCCAGTAAACCTGACAGTTAGGCTTGGGGAAACCAAAGAGACCATCTAGAGATTACATTCTGGTTTATGGGCCATAGTGAATTGAGGAACTGGCCAGAGATCACTGAAGAAAAATAAACCTTTATAGACCATTCAGCACTCAGTGAGTAATGTTGTCAACATGTGCTAGCTGCCTTTACTTCCCATGAAATTTTCCTAGTACCAGGCTTGGTGAACCTGGGATTTAATTTTAAAAACTGTCTTATTTGTGAGTTTGAAGGTGTGACAGCCAGCCTGAGAGGCAAGTATGCTAGAAACTGCTCTACGGCATCTCCTGATCCACCACTGTTAACTTCAAAAATCATATACAGAAAATTATTTATATGTTTTAAATATTTCACAGCTACCACGACAGCGACCCGGAATTGTTGGTATTGAGAGGTCAATACAGCAGAGAAATAAAGAGACAAACAAAAATGTTTCACAGGCATTTCATGATCTTAAGAATTTAATGGACAAGGTAAATAAAGCTCTGGTATTTCTCCCCAATTTTTTTCCTGTTTAAATAGACCGTGCTAATTTTCTATTAACTCTTATAGTGTAAATGGAACTGGGGTAGCACACTGGCTTGATTATCGTGCTGAAGATCTTAGGTTCAAATCCACCCCTGATGATTTGAAAAACAATTGGTGTTGGCCGCCTGGTCAACCCAGCCTTATGAAATCAATATGAGAAATTGATTAGGGGAGATATTCAGGTGTGTGAGGTAATGAGCAGGCTTATAGATTAGCTGCTGCTGCTCCTCGGGCAGGGAGCTACTGTATGATAAAGCAGATGTGGTGAAAGCTCTATGGGATCAAATGGACAGTGCAAAATAACAGACAGGGAATCCATACAATGAAAGACTAGTTGATTGGGGAGGGGGGGGGGAGAGGGCCTGGGAGATATTCAAGGTCAAAAGGGAAACAGAGGCAAACTTTCATTCAGGTTGCAGCTGGTACTGTTAGGATTTCAGCTCTTCCTTGGTTACTGAAAAAGGGGGCAGAACACGTGTGGGAATGTCCTGAGTGTGGTGATGTCAGTTCTTGATTTATTTTCATTCAGGGGTGGCCAGCATGATGTTGACCACAACTTTTGCCGAGGGTCGACTGGTTTATACAAATGTGAGTCTCATTTCATATGGGTGATGTGCCACTGGCTTGGAGAGTTGATTTTTGAGTTTAGGATTGACATCAAAGCGCTCAAGACATTCTCATAAACAGATGTGATCAAGGCCCTTTGGGAACAAGCAACAGAATCAGTAGAGAAACAAGATTATTTTGGCCTGGAGAGAATGAGGCACCTGGGTGTAACTAGAGGGTCTGGCCGGCTCACTACACTCAGAGGAAAGGCAAGACAGATATATAACCAGATTGTGACCGGTATTGGAACTCTGCACTGGCTGCTGAAGATGAGGACAGAGCACGCATGATAATCCCCTGAGTGCTGTGATGTTGATTCTTGACTCAACTCAACTCAGCTCATAAGCAGAGATCCAGTTCCAATGGCACGAGTATCAGCCACACTAGTAGTACTGACCTGGAAAGGTGTCCTTACTTTACTTTACTTTACTTCAGAGTAGATACCAGTTGGATCGTGATTGTAACTGACTCAGAAAACATGCTGAGGAAGGTCAGGACAGGTATGCTTCGTGCAGTGTGGCATGCTTCACTGCGGAGGACACGGGTGAGGAGTATTGTCTGGATTTTTTTCACCAGGAGACGCTGGTGTGTTGAGAAATGAATAGGCAGACAGACTGGCTGGCTCTGCACAACTTGGTGGAATACTGATGCATGATGAGGCAAACATGGTTAGTGCCTTGTGGGAGAGCAGGTACAGTCTGGAGGAGCAGATTGGTCACCACAGTCTGGTGAGATTGATGCAAGGAGGAGTGATGAGAGGTTCTGGCAGATGCTCAAGGCTCAGAGGAAAGGCAAGACGGACGTTTAATCAGAATGCTGCTGGCACCATTAGTATCGGAACTCTTCACTGTCTGCTGAAGATGAGAACAGAGCACTTATGGGAATCCCCCGAGTGCTGTGATGCTGGTTCTTGAATTGAATCAACTCAACTCAACTCAGATACCAATTGGTGTGAGGAAGGGAAGGAGAATAATCACTATGAACAGTGATGAAAGGATGACTTTCAGTGAGGCAAAGCCCACAGTGGGAGTTGATGTTGCTGCATCGGATCTCAATAATCTCAGCGTGTTTACACAAGCTTAATTCCAGACTGTGTTTTTAAAAATTGCCAGGCAGTTATTGATGAGGCTCTACTCTTAACCTAGCTACATGACTTAGGGAAAACTTCTGGCAAAGCATGTCTATGCCATTTTTAATGTTATAACTTGCTTCATAGGAGAACAGTCGGCAGAGGATGACTGCTATACTTGAGGATTGAGCATACGTGGGAATGCAGAAAGTTTAGCGGCACAGAAATGGAGCATCTATGGGGTGACTTAATTGCAGTAAAGTTGAAATGTCGACTAAGACTAAGCTCAGAGTGCAGTAATGTTGATCGTCATAACATAACATATCTTTGTCAAGCTGGCATTTTAAATTTTCTTCTGTTGATAATTATTTCTTTAGGTTAACCTAGTTCATTGACAGTGTATGTTTATTTATTTCAGGCTAAGGACATGGTAGCTTTGAGTAAGACAATTGCAAATAAGATTAAAGACAAGCAAGGGGAAATGACTGAAGATGAGGTAAAAATCTTGTTCTAAACCAGTGGTCGGCAAACTTCATTATTCAGAAGAGCTAAAAATCAGCAGTAAGATGATTTTTTGAGAGCCATATTTCTTTTCAAGAACCTGTCAAGAACCATGTTTTTCGGAGTCGGTTGAAACTAGCTACTAAACATTAAATACAACCAGATAAAAAAAATAATAATCTTTTTTATTGACAAAAAAATACTAAACAAGCATTAAACATTAAATTCAACCAGATGTAATAATAATAATCTTATTGACACAAAATACAAAACATGTATTGAAAGTGAACTATGACCCTGCATTTCCTTGGAAACTTTTGATATGTCTGGTTTGTAAGTCATTGTTTTTAATTTGAAGAAGGATTCTAGATTCTCAGTAAGTTGATTTCTCAATTTATTGTTGATGAGGTTCATTCTTGAAAATGATTGTTTGCATGAATACGTAGAGCCAAAGAGTGAAAGAGTAGCAAATGCTAGTTTTCAACTGATCACAAGAGTCAGGAATACTCTTCCAAGTGTTGAAAATTATTATGTCTTTCTTCTCCAGATCTTTCAAATCAGACCACTTTTGCTGTAAACTGAGATCACCTTTGTTTTTTCTCTAATGTTTTCTAGATCAGCATTAAGGTGTTCAAATTTCTAACTCCATAATTTGTATTTTTTTTTACTCCAGCAATTTCATTTCAAAAGGGCCAATGTCAAAAGTAAAGGGAGAGAAATTCAATTCTGTTATGTCAGCAATGAGTGTTTTTTTTAACACTGGCAAATTTAAAATTGTTGTTTTGAAATAGCAAATGCCAATTACCTAGCTATTTTCTTGGTGATGTTTCATCAGGCTTGGAAATTGAATTAATGTTTCTCTTTCAAATACTTAAGCAATAGGGGACAATTTGTTTTCTGAGTGAAATGATTTCTTCCAACATCGAAACAGTTGTGTTTCCTTTCCTCTGTAGTTTAAGATTATTTAGATGAGACGTAACATCTACCATCAAATAAAAGTTTGGATCCACTGATCATCCGTTAGTTCAGGATAGTCAACATCTTTCTCAAGAAGAAATGCTTTAATTTCTCATAATCTTCTTTCTTTTTTGTGTTCACCAGCTGTAAACTCTAGTGGGAAGTTCTGGTTGTTCGTCCACTTGTGCACTGCAGTCCTGTTCCAGAACCTGATTGATTTGTGTGCATCCATTTGACAGATTTGACTTATTTGTGTGCGGGCTGTTGGTTCCTTGCCTCTCAGGCAGATGCACTCCGATTTCGTCAGAAGCTCTTAATTATTCAACTTTAGGCCATACTTTTGGATAGGCAGTGGGTCTATTCTTGTTTTCCCTATAACACAGGGAATTTCTCATAATAAGGAAGCGAATCGTTTTTAAAAGTTTCATCTTGCAACTATTATGAAGCAGAAGATCAGCGTATTCATCTAACAATTCTTTAAGCTGGCGATGATAAAGAACTCTCACTACAATTTTTTGACAACTTTGATGACCAGTTCTGTAACATTGCAAATTTCCTCTGGAAATGTCTGCAAACAAAGCGCTTCTTGATTAACGATGCAATGGTAAACAAGTATCTCATGATTTATTTTGTCCTTCAAAATAGAAACAGAACCTTTTCTTACTCCTGCCATACTTTTTGCTTCATGGGTTTAAATTGAAACAATTTTCTCGAGCGGAGTATGATATTTGTCCATGCATTCCATGACAGCATTTGCAATATCCTGGCCACATGTTTGACCTTTCAGTGGTAATAATCCTAAAAGTTCTTCTTTAGGACTCGACAAAATAAATCGAACAAAACGTGTAACTTGCTCTGTATCATTTATGTTACAGGATTTGTCAACAGCTATTGACAAAGCTGAAATCAGTTTAAGATCTTCAATTTGCTGATTGGTTACATTGAAAGACATTTTGACTGTTCACTGTTCTATCTGTTGCAGTTTTAGCAGATACTGGAAACTCTTAAATTTTCTAAGTATTTCTTCCTTGTTCTTAAAATCCAGGAATAGCTCTTCAATTGCATTTATAAAACAACTTTTAATGTATTCACCTTTGTGCATATTTGCCTCACTTTGCAATATCTTGGCTGACAATAAAGCTTGCAACATTAACGTTGCTGCAAGATTGCACCCAAGAATTAAATACAGTACTTAATGTTTTTTTTTTTTTTTACTCTTCTAAAGTTCCTTAACTGCTTTTTTTCCCGCATGACCGGTGGAATATTTACTGCCAAATGACAAATGTTTAGTTGTAAAGTGTCTCAGACCATCAGAGTTTTATATAAACGCAAACAATTCGGTCAATTCAGCTTTAAATTCACAGTTTTCTTCATCCATTTTCCTGACTCGCTGCGGCCATGCTCTCGCTCAACTCATGTTATTGCGTAATTCCACACCACATACTCTGCTCCCTTCGTGCTGTGTCAGCATGATCAACACTCACTTGCCGGCACTTGCTAGTCAAAACTGATTTCTGGCCGAGCTGCACTCAGGTTGCTATAGAGCTACTTGCGGCTCATGAGCCGTGATTTGCCGACCATGTTCTAAACTATAAGAATATGTTGTCTCAGTGCTGGTAGATTGACCTTCCATGTAAACAAATTTCTTACTATATATGTATGTATACATTTAATCAGTGTTAGCGTTGTATGTATGTATGTATGTATGGAAGTGTATGTGCAAATCACATGATTTTTTCCTTACTTTTTTTTTTGTTGCATTCACTTTCCTGTATGTGTATTTTTTTTTTTTTTTTGAATAAAAAACACTTGTAATCATTATTGTGTATGAATAGTGTCATAAGGCAGTCTCTTTGGCATGATGATTAGGCGACGCTGTTAGATTTCCACAGGTTGTTGACATGTCCACATTCATTCTCTGTTATGTAAGCTTCCTACACTCTCTACACACCTATTCCAGTTCCAGTCTTTTCCCATGTTGTTCCCTCACCCCAAAATTAGGAATCCCTCTCTCCCATTTTTCGGTCACTATTGTAGGATTTCCCAGTTCACTGCAGGACTTCACTTCATCATAAGACACCTGTGAGAGGAGCAGCTGATTGAGCAGTTAACAACACTGGACTTTCATTCAGGAGTCCCAATGCACCCAAAAAAAAAAGGTGAATCGTAACCTGCAGTCCGTGCCGCCATGTCCTCCTAAATCATCAGACTCAGCACTTTCCTCCATGCACAAGAGCAGAGTAAATGCTGTTCAGGGAATAAAGCATCCACCTAAACACTCTCTGGCCCTGTCAGCCTTAGATTTTTGTCAAAGATCAAACCTCAGTCCTCCTCCCCCACTTTCTATTCTCATGTGAAAACCAACATGGACATATCACATTATTTCTCCAGTAGTCAGTTTCAAATCATTGAATGTCTTGTACATATGCCTGCAGAGTTTGTTGTGTCCAACTCACAATCTAAATCCCATATTTAAAACCATCCAAATCAAAGTAGTTCATTTGGGCATTCTATGAAGTCTGTTGTTGTTTTTGGGGATATGTGTGTTAGAGTGACATTTTTTGACAAATTGGTGGAATTTATTATTTCAGACTGTGAGATTTAAGTCCTACCTTCTGAGTATGGGTATCCCAAATCCTGTGACAAGAGAGACTCATGGAACAGGCGATAAATATTATACAGAGTTGGCGAGAGAGTTGTCTCAACTGCTGACCAAACCAATAGAGGTGAGGCTGTTAATATCCTAATAAATCATGACCAAATAAGAATACAAACAGAAAGAGGAGCTTTTATAACCTAGTAAATACGTGGAAAGGAAGCTACTGTGGTTTAGCAGCTAGATGCTCACCTGCGGATCCGAAGGTCGTGTGTTCATCTCCCGATGTCCCCTGACTTTAAAAAAAAATTACTACCTTGTGCTCCCAGGTGGATCCAGCCTTAAATTGGTCCTGGGAAATAAAAGCAGCCTGCCAGATGTTAACCACATCACCCACCAGGTGTCAGTATATCTGTATAATATAGGTACACCCTGTATGCCTAATACGCCTGAAGGCATGAGAAAGGGTCCTTTACTTTTTTAACATACTTAAATGTGTGGAAGTCTAAAAAATCACTTGCACCTGAATTAAAATATTTAAGTCTGCTGTCAAATCATTTTGTAAAAATCCAACAACAACAAAAGAAACAGGATTTCATCTTACTAGATGAACACAAGCATGAAAGACAAAATGAAGGTTGCAGCTAGAAAGCTTTCTTCAGCATACAAAAACACAGACAGTGATACTTCTTCTTCTTCTTCTTCACTTCCTCTTTTACCGCTGTGGGTGTCGGGAGAGATATAAGGTTCTGTTTCTAGCTCTTCTGGCTGCCTCGACCATAGGCACATCAGGTTGTTGTAGAGTTTCTCTGATATTATCCTTCCATCTTGTTCTTGGTCTACCCCGTGCTCTACGTCCTTCTTCTCTTTCCATGTATGCTTTGTATGGTATGGTGTCACAAGGCATTCTCTCCAAGTGGGCAAACCATTTCACTTGCTGTCTTTGTATGTAATCCAGAATTGGTTCTGTGCCGACTTGTTCTCTTATGATCTCATTCCTGATCTTATCTCTTATGCTCACTCCTACAGCCCTTTTCAGACATCTCATTTCCGTGGTTACTAATTTTCTTTTATGGTTTGTTGTGAGTGACCATGTCTGGCACTCATAGCACAAAGTTGGAATAAATATGCTTTGAATAAGATGCCTCTTTGTTCTGATTGGGATTGTCTTATGCTGTAAAAGGGGTGCTAGCTGTCCCAATACTTGGTTTGCTTTACTGCATCTAATGTCAATTTCTTTATCCAATTTCCCATCTTCGGTAAATGTAGTTCCCAGATATTTAAACTCAGATGCCTGTTTAATGCCTTTGTATTCTATTGCTATGTTTAGATCTGTCTTATTTTTTCCTATTGACATTACTTCTGTCTTTTCAGTGTTGATTCTCATATTATTTGTTTTACATTCTTCATTCATGGATGTTAGATGTTGTTGCAATTTCATGGCTGTGTCTGCTATCAAGGCCTGGTCATCTGCAAAGAGTAATTCGTTGATCTTACTAAGATCTTCATTAGTGATACAACTGTATAAAACACCACTTATAACAGCTTAGCTTTGAGGATGGAGTCAGACTGCTGTCAAAATATATCTATACATTTGTAACAGAAAGGCTGCTAGCACATACCCTTACTGAATCACAGTTAGACGACGGGCAGGAAGTGACAAAGATTAATAGGATAGATGAGAGGTCACAGTAAGGAGGAGTAGTGTGATATGCTAGATGAAATTGTGTTGAATGAACATTCAGTGTTGAGTACTGAGCTAAGAACAGACATCACAGCACTCGGAACATTCCTATATGCGCTCCATCCTTATCTTCAGCAGCCAGCAAAGAGTTTAAATTCCAGTGGTACCAGTAACAGTTTGATTATATGTCTATTTTGCCTTTTCTCTGAATGTAGAGTACCAGCCAGATCCCCAGTCACTCCTAGCTGTAGCAATATTTCTAGACCCTAACCATCTATTCATGCCTCCACATTGTTCACTGGCTTCCAAAGGTCCTTGACCCCATCTAGCTTGTCATGCATTGGTTTACCCCTGATTGGTGCAGAACCAGCCAGTCTGTCTTCTTGTTCATCTCCCTCCCACACACATGCATACCCTAGAGAATATATTTAAAGAAGGCAAACTACCCTGGACCTCTGAAGCGATGCCTGCCACTCTGCACAGATTGTACCTGTTTCTACATTTCATAACGTGCTTTTTGAGTTGGTTACAATCATGACATGTGTGGGCAGCTGGTTCTCAACCCAGCGGAAAGCTACTGTAACTGTTTCTAACTCCATTCTCAAACTAGATGTTACGATGCAGAGATAGAACAGGATACTATTGTATGTGTATTGTCGAGAATCAAATCAAATGTATTGGGTATCGAATTAAAAAGCAGCAAACACAGTTATCAACAACTTAATTAATATTATATGAAAACGAGAGCTCACCCAAGAAGAATATAGATAAACATTGAAAAGATAATAAAGTTACACCATCATCATCATGTGCCCTGCCAGTTGGTGTAGGCTCTCATGCATCTCCACAGATCACAATCCCTGGTTGCCTGGAACAGCTTCTTCATGCCATCATTTCCACCCATCCAGCATCATCTCTCTTGGTCTGCCTCTACCCCTCTTTCCACTGATCTTTCCAGTTGTCTCAATGTTTTTCCAATGCCTCTTTTCATTACATGGCCAAAGAACAGTCTTTGTCTTCTTCTTATTGTTGTATGTAGAGATCTACTTTCATTAGCTTCTTTCAAACAATTGTTGTTAGTTACTCTGGCTGTCCAAGTTATTTGTAACATTCGTCTGAGAAACCACTTCTCCCTTGCTTGTGAAGTGTTCCTAATTTGTTCACTGACATTCCAAGATTCGCTGCCGTACAGAAGATCAGGTTCTATGTACACATTTTAACACTCTCTTTCTGACAATAAATGAAAGCGACTTATTGCATAAGACAGTGATTCCCAAACCGTGCGCCATGGGGAGCTGCAACCTATCTACAGGGGCCCCGCAAAATATTTGAAGATCACTAGTTTCATTTTTTTTTAATCTCTTACATACGAATAGTCATACTTTTACTTAGGTTAGTGCGCCGTGGAAAAATTTTTAATTGAAAAAAGGTGCCGCGACTAAGAAAAGTTTGGGAAACACTGGCCTAAGATATTTTTCATTTTCTGAAATGCTGCCTTCGCTTGATCTATTCTGCTTTTAATCGCTGTCACACATTTTCCATCTGATGATGTAATTGTTCATAGATATTTGAATTTACTGACTTGGTTTAGTCTTTTTCCTTCAACTGAGATATCACAATGTGGTGTTATTTTCTATGATATAACCATTACTTCCATTTTCTTAATATTCAAGAAAAGTCTTTTCTTAGCACTCTCCATCCCCACAATATCCAGCAGTTTTTGTAAATCAGTTGCGTTTTCAGTTATCAAAACTGTATCGTCTGCATAAAACAGATTGTTTATATTGTCTCCTCCAACTTGTATTTCTACTTTCACTTTAATTTCCCTCGCAATTACTTCACTATATAGGGCTAAAATGTCTGGGCATAAGACACATCCCTGTCTTACTCCTTGCTTTATTTGCTCTAAAGTACCCAATCTGTTTCCCACTTTAATTGCTGCTACATGGATCCAGTAAATATTTTTAATTATTCTGAGATCTTTCCCATCTACATGTCTTCATATATTTGTGTCATCTCCTCATGTTTAACTTTGTCAAATTCTTTGGTATAATCTGTAAAATATAAGTTTTGTATGTCCATTGATCTTCTTTTCAGTGTACGTAATATGTATATTGCATTACTGTCCCTTTACCTTCCATAAATCCATACTACTCTTCTCTCATTTTCATTCTTATTTTTTTTTTCTTGTTCTTCTCATTATAATTTTAAGTAGTAATTTGGTGACATGATAAATTAAGTTGTACGAAATTCTTCACATGGGTCATACAATAAATACCAATTTCATCATATCACTTGGAATATACCCAGTGTTATAAATGTCATTCATCAGCTTAGTTAATATTTCTACCCCAAATTCCCTCCGTACTTCTAATTCTTCTACCAAAATTTTATCTGACCCGGCTCTTTCCTTTCTTCATGTGTTTAATAGCATCGCTTTCTTCCTTTAGTATATTCAGACCTTCTAAATTTCTTTTTTTCTGGTAATTCTGCTATCTTTCCATCATATAACTCTCTGATGTATTCATTCAATCTAATTATTATTTCATCTTCCTCCATTAAGATCTATTCTGCCTTTGATTTCAGACATCATGTGTTTACTCTAATTTTTTTTTCCAATTAGGTTACTAACGTGTTTGTGCACACTTTCTGCATCTTTAACAGGACTGTGTTCAGTGTTATTGAATTGTTCATTTAGCCAATCTTTTTTGCCTTCCTACACTTATGCCTTATTTCTTTATTTATCTTGTCATATTCTTCTTTGTCATGCATACATTGTTTTCTGTCACCCATTATTAACTTTAACATTTCTTCAGTCATCCATTTCTGTTTAGCCATTTGTCTTTCTTTCCTGGTAAAATTTCTTTGCTTGTTTGTGGATGGAGTTTATAGTTTGTATTTTTGGTATTGCATTGTACCCGTTCCTCACAATCACTCTATATTGCTCCTGAATTTTTTTTCCTCTCTTAGAATATCTTTGTTTAGTCTATAGTTTTTCACCTCTTTTTTTTTTGCACTCTTCAGTCATGTATTTAATTTTCCACATAAAAAGTGGTCACTGTTTCAGTCAGCACTAGGTTTTGTCTTCACATTTGTTGGTATTTTCTAAACCTTTTGTTAATTAGTATATAATCAATTTGATTGAATGTTTTCTTATCCGGACTTTTCCATGGGTATAGTCATCTCTTATGTTGCTTATACCAGATGTTTCCAATTATTTTAACATTTATTTTCATCCACTATACCATGGTTTCACCTCTTTCATTTCTTGATCCTAAACCATATTCCCTAACTAAATCTTCTGTTCTCTCTTTCCCAACATTTGCATTAAAATCTCCAAATATTTTTTCAATTTCTTGTGATTTTTGTTTGGGCTATTGCCAAATCTTGACTGTCTTAAAAGAATCAGCTTAGAAAATGGGACTAGCTGTCAATCAAAATAAGACAGAATACATGATAATAACTAGACAGGGAAAGGATATAAACTCCGGCTATGTACAGGTCGATAATATGAAAATCAAACTAATGGAAACATATGAGTGGTTGGGTGCAAACTTCAACTGCTCCAACATGTTGAGAGAAGAAATACAATCTAGAATACAATCTGGAAATAAGTATACTATGCCCTTTAACATCTGCTAAAGTCAAAGTGTCTGTCTCCCAACACCAAGATCAAAATATTTTAAACGTTGATAAGACTAGTTGTGTTATATGGCTCTGAAACTTGGAGCACAACTAAAAGAGATGAAGCCTTATTACAGGTTTTCGAAAACAGAGTTTTACAACGAATCTTTGGACCCATCAAACAGCGGTGAATGGAGGGTGAGAAGAAACAACAAAATTCTTAATCTGTTCAAATTACCACTGATCGCTGGCATTATGAAAGAAAATAGACTGAAAAGGTTGGGGCATATTGAAAGAATATCAGATGACAGAGAAGTAAAAACTGTTTACATGAGGGAGATGAATGGTCATAGGCCACGAGGCAGACCAAGAAAACGATGTAGAGATAATGTCCAGGCAGATCTGCAAACACTTGGTGTCACCAACTGGAAAGAGAAGGCCAGCCAGAGAGATAAATGGAGGCGGGTGATATCTGAGGCAATGAACCTCAGGGGCTCGGAATGCTGAAGAAGAAGAAGATTGCCAAATCTAAATCTTCATAAACTTTTTCTATTTCCCTTTTACTGCTTACTGTTGTTGGGGCATACATCTGTATTATGTTTATATTTATTGGTTTGCCTTTAAATTTAACCATAATAAGCCTATCTGATGTACTTCAGTAACCCACAGTTGCTTTTGCTGTTTCCTAATAAAAAAATATCCACACCTCCTTTTCATGTTTATCGCTTCCTGAATATATTATTGTGTGCTTATCTTTTCTGATCTTTCCAGCACCCTTCCATCTCATTTCACTTATTTCTAGGATGTTTATCTTCATACATTCCATTTCTTTTATAATATTCCCTGTCTTTCCCAATTCTGCCAGTGTTCTCACATTCATTCCACATTGCTAGTTTAACACTTTTAATTTCCATACTTTTTAAAAATTGCCATCACTAACCTGATGACGATCTGGCGTCACCTGTGACTCGTGACTGTCCCCACCTGACCAGGCTGTCCTTAGTCTTGCATTAACGTCATTCGTGTGATTCAATCTACGTTTCTTTAGATATCTTGGGAATATAATGTTGTGATTTCCTGTTGGCTTCCACATCCACATGGGGTATTTTAACCTACACCTTTGACAGTAGTTTCCAACTGCCAGGAGTGATCCACTTATTCCGGTGGATACTCAGTCCCCATATCTACGTTAGCTGCACCGTTGTGTGTTTCTCACCCTCCACCACTTGACGGTGCAGTTTCTGATTTGTTCTTTCATCAAATTTGAGACCAGGATGGTATTTCTCAAACTCTCTGGGTACTTTCTGGAGGGCAAACTCACATAGAAAAACAATAAACATCGTCACCCATCCAGCTCCAGATAACCAGCTAATCCTCTCCATGATGCTTGGTGGCAAAAATGGAAGATGATGACAATTATACTGATAATTGCTAGTCTATGTTTATTTTTTCTTCCTTTAAATTATTTCTACTTCTTTCCTGACTTCTGTAAGTGCCAATCAAAACTTATTTATCTGCAGTGGTCTATCTCATTGCCTTTTGTTTACAACAGCAACAACAACAAATTCGTACGCAAACACTCCTACATGGCATTTTGCTAAAGATTACTGACGAACACAGGTTCAGTAATCTAATTGACAACTATGAACCTCTTTTAACTACAGTGAAAAAGAGAAAAATGCAATGGTATGGACATGTAATAAGATCTAACGGCCTTTCTAAAAACAATACTGCAAGGCTCAGTAGAGGGAAAGAGGAGAAGAAAGACCTGGTTACAGAACTGACTGACTGAACAGGCCTTAGGCATGCAGCCATGAAGTCCATTGTAACTGACTGCCAAAAGTAGAGAGAGCTGATCAGACAGTCAACAGAAACTGGTGACCTAACGACACGTAGTGTTATGGGATGATGATGATGATACATAGAGATAAGAAATTGTCAGTTATTATTTTACACGTGTAAACCATATAGTACCTGAGTGAAAAATGTATTCATTGCAGCAGGTCAGATAGAGAATTTGTATCTGTCAATCGCTATGTCTGAGTCCTTTGTGACAGAAGTGGTTTAACTAATCTTCTTATTCTTCTTCGCGTTCACCGGCTGTAAACTCCGGCGGACAGTTCTGGGTGTTCGTCCATCTCGGTAGTTTAGTCTGGCTCCAGAACCTGAGTGTTGATTGCACATCCGTTTAACAGATCTGGCTTATTTGTTTGCAGACTTATGGTTCCTTGCCTCTCGGGCAGATGTTCTCCTACTTCGGAGGGTGTCCCCAATTAGTCAAATCCTATGACATGAGTCTATTCTTGGTTTTTTTTTTTACACAATGGGACCCCGGAACCCGCACTGGAAAGTTTAACTTATAATTCAGATATAGGGGTTAGTATAACATCTATCTCTGACAGAAAACAGAAAGAGATTACATTATCTTTGGAATGACCAGGAAACTTGTGATGAGTTGTTTGGTAATGACAGAATTAAGGGACACTGTTTTCTTCTTGTTTTATCATAAGCTTCTTATTTCTTACCTAGGAGAGTGGAGGAATGATGACTTTGACTGATGTTTACTGTCGAATCAACAGAGCAAGAGGCATGGAGGTACATTTGTCTGAAATGCTTGTATAAATCCAGCTGTTGGGTTGTACGAACAATTACTCTTTAACAACATTATCTTAGATTTAGCTTCTTATGTCATCATCATCTTCATCGTCATCACTTGCCCTGCCTGCTGGCATAAGCTTTCATGCATCTCCACAGGTCTCAGTCCCTGTCTTCTGGATCTTTCTGCCGATGATATCCCTCCATGCCACCGTCGCAGTCCATCCTCATCGTCTCTCTCGGTTTGCCTCTCCCTCTTCTACCATTGATCTTCCCAGTCGTCTTAAGCCTCCCCACTCATCACATGACCAAAGGACAGTGCTTGTCTTTTCCTTATAGCACTGTGTGTGTGCACGTGTGTTTGTGAGAGAGAGAGAGAGAGAGAGAGAAAGAGAGAGAGAGAGAGAAAGACATTATATGTTCAGTTTCATGAAAACTTGTGTTCTGTCAGATGTGGTTTGAACATATGTATACAGTGACTGCTGAATTGGGTTTCCTTTGTTAAACGATAGGCCCTGATCACTTTCAACATTGCCTGCTCAGTTACATGATAACTGAGTCTTGTAAGATTTGATTGACAGAACGCAGTTCTTAGTGACTGGTGAATTCTCACATTTTATAGTTGTTGTTCACCCCAGTGACACTGAGCCATCTTCTTCTTCTTCATGGTCACCGATTGTAGACTCTGATGTAAATTCATGGTTGTTCACATTTATTTCTGTTCACCTATTTCTTGATCTTATCCCAGCGCTTGAGTTGTATGTGCACATCTGCTTTACAGATCTGGCTTAGTGTGCAAACCTTTGGCCTTCAGCATTAGATGATAGAGAATCAGACTGAGAGACATGATGCTGGATGGTCTCAAGTGGTGAGGAGGAGGAATGGCATTTAGAGAATTGACCTAAAGCACCAAGGACTGAGATCTGTGTATGGGCATGAATGCCTACATCTTATGGCAAGAAACAGAATAGTGCCCTCGAACCAACCATACACAAATTGTCTAAAAATCCCTAGAGAAGTTTGAGAGAACTTGCTCCTTAAGAAAGAATCACTGGGCTGTCAAAACTAGCTCATTTCCTTTGAAGTGAGTGCATCTGCCGGAGAGGCAAGGAACCAGTAGTCTGCATACAAAGTCAGATCTGTAAAATGGATGTACACACAACAATCAGGTTCTGGAACAAGTCTAAAGTCCAGAGGTGAATGAACAGCCAAAACTTTCCACCGGAGTGTGCAGCTAGTGGACATGAAGAAGACGAAGAAGAACATATACCCAGAGTCCATTTACTAGAACAACAGCTAATGAGCAGTATAAAAAGAAGATAATGCTAGAGAAACTTAACTCTTCGCCTAATAATAATTAATATATTAATCTAGTTAATATATATTTGTACATAAAACATTATGTAAAAAACTTTTGCATTCAACACATAAATAAAGGGGAGGGCAGCTAGTGGTGTTTATGTTGTGGAACTGTCTAAAACATTTGTCCTGAAATTGCTGTATTGTTAAAAAAAAAAATTTTTTTATTTTTGGTATGTGCCTGCAAATATTAGCTTCTGTCACCTGAAGACCTTTTGCATGCCTGTGAAGTTATGGAGATGCTGAAACTTCCACTAAGGTTAGTGTAAAGTAGTTATAAATAATAGTTGATCTTAGCACGCAGTCTTAGATTGTTAAGGTTACCCCCTCCCCATTTGTGTAATTTATATTTCTTCTTGTTAACGTTCACGACTGTAAACTCTGGTAGAAAGTTCTGGTTGTTTGTCCACCTTTAGACTTGGCTTATTTGTATGCAGACTGTTGATTTCTTGATTCTCAAGCAGATACCCTGGGACTTCGAATGAAGTACCTCTAATTAGTCGCTCCTATGACATGCTTGTTATTGGGACAGTGGGTCTGTTCTTTATTCTCCAAAATAGAGCCCCAGAACCCACAGAAGGATAATTTATAAAATTGGTTTGAAGCAATGAGATTGCTAGAACTAGTAACAATTTCACCATATTGCCTGTCATTGTATGCTTTGCAACAGTAATATTTGAAGTATACTTTACATAGTTAACTCTAGTGAATCATGAACAGTTATGTGGAAGTCGTGGAGATGTTGTTTTATAGACGAATGATGAGAACACCTTGGACAGATTAAAAAAGAGTAATGAAGATGTTTTGAAATAAAGTGACTCACAAAGAGAACTGATTGCTACCACCACAATCTACATTTTTTGGTCATGTGATGATAAAACTGGAGTACGTCATGACGGTGGGAAAGTTGGAGGAGAAAGAGACAGAGGGAGGACAAGAGAGAAGATGCTGGATAGTTTGACATCATGGGTGATCATCTGTGTCAGAATTAATTAATTAAAGGGGCCCCTTTGTTGGGAAAGCAAGAATAGACCCACTGCCTCCCCGACAATCATATCATGGGAGTCGACTAATTGGGGACATCCTTCGAAGTCAGAGTGCATCTGCCTGAGAGGCAAGGAACCACAGGTCTGCATACAGATAAGCCAGATCTGTGAAACTGATGTGCATGCAACATTCAGGTTCTAGAGCAAGACCAAAGTCCAGAGGTGGATGAACACCCAGAACTTTCAGCCAGAGTTCACAGCTGGTGAATATGTAGAAGAAGAAGAACTGAAAGTACATCAGTCAGACAGAAGGTTGTTGATAGCATAACTATCAGCGCCACACTGTCATGATTATATGAAGGAGAAACTACTTTAATTAGACATTGTCAAAAATAGATGTTGTAACGGGACAGACACAAATGTTCTTAACCTCATTTACCTCTTTAGCTGCTTCAGAATGTAGGGTTATATAGTGCTGTTCATTAATGTCTTAATTAAGATTGACCAGTTGGCAAGGCACTGTTTGATGGCACAGAGGATGGGGGTCAGGAAAAACACCATGTGTCTTCTTCACAAGATGGCTGTGTTATCTAATTATAATGAACCAGTTAATTATTATTGCCATGTTCTTTTTTTTGACTGTCAAAATTGAGTTGAGTTGATTCCAGAACCAATGTCACAGCACTCAAGGTATTACCATAAGCGTTCCATCCCCATCTTCAGTAGTCAGCGTAGAGTTCCGATACCAGTGGTGCCAGAAGCAGTCTGATTGTACGTCCATCTTGCCTTTCCTCTGAGTGTCGAGTATCGGTCAGATCACATTGTCACTTGTTGCTGCATCACTATCACCAGACTGATGATACATTTGCTCTTCTGAATTGTACATGTGCTCCCATTTAGGCCTTGACCATGTCTGCCTTATCATGCATCAGGATCCACCAAGTTGTGCAGAGCCAGCCAATCTGTCTGCCTGTTCAGTTCCCAACACACCAGCTTCCCCAGAGAAAAGATCCAGACATTGCAACTGTCAGAATTAATTCTTCGAAGCCTGTACACTGTTGGAAAGAGAGCTAGCTGTGTCATCTGCATATCTGAGTTCTGGGATAGGTTTCCTTCCAATTGTGAGTGGATCAAAACTGTCACAAGTCTAATCACTAATTGCATTTCTCACTGTTACTGAGGAGGGGCTGGTCGAGTGGTTACAACATCGGGCTGTCATACTGGAGGACCGGGTTCAACCTCCGGTAAGGTGGCGGAGTATATCTGTCGGGGGCTAAAATAAAAATCCAAAATCTGCGCAGTCAGTGGCGATAGAACTAGCTGTACGGCCATAATTCCTCTGGCTCACGACCGCCCCTACCCAATCTCTCACTTCGCCGTTCTTATAGGGTTATGATTTTTTTTTACTGAATATATATTGTATTTGAGACTTGAAAATTAATTGGGGGGGGGTTAGTGTTTAAATAACTATTGCTTACCATGGCTGGAGTTTTTACCCCCGTGTGTAATCTAATCTGTTACTGACCATATGCGTTACATTTGTGTAAACATCTGCTTGATATTGTTTTATGTATGAGGTGGTAGTTGTCAAATCTTTTTTTCATTACAGGTTGAGAACATTTGACAGTGGTGTGTCTGTTCTTCAGGCAAGAAGCCACAGTGAGGAAGAGATAGCAACAAAAACAACTAACATGGTTAGTGAATGTATCTTAGACACTGCCACTCATTACTGTTTTTCCATTCAACGATGCCTTACTGTCTTAACTTCCTCTCTGTTGGTCTTGTCTCTCTTCCCTGCCAACTCTCCTGTTGTCACTACATACTCGCTCTCCTCTTTATTTCACCTCCATTACAAAAATACAAAACAAAAAAATATTTTCTTTACTTAGAAATTGAACTTGTGTCTGACACTGTATAATGTGTGTATCCTATGACATTGTGCAAGGTATGTATCCTATGACAGAGTGCAAGGTGTGTATCCTATGACATTGTGCAAGGTGTGTATCCTATGACATTGTGCAAGATGTGTATCCTATGACATTGCACAAGGTGTGTATCCTATGACATTGTGCAAGGTGTGTATCCTATGACAGTGTGCAAGGTGTGTATTCTATGACATTGCGCAAGGTGTGTATCCTATGACAGAGTGCAAAGTGTGTATCCTATGATATTGTGCAAAGTGTGTATCCTATGACAGTGCACAAGGTGTGTATCCTATGACATTGCACAATATGTGTATCCTATGACATTGCACAATGTGTGTATCCTATGACATTGCACAAGGTGTGAATTCTATGACATTGCACAAGGTGTGTGTCGTATGACACTGTGCAAGGTGTTTATCATAGGACATTGTGCAAGGTGTGTATCATATGACACTGTGCAAGGTGTGTATCCTATGACAGTGTGCAAGGTATGTATCCTATGACAGTGTGCAAGGTGTGTATCATATGACGCTGTGCAAGGTGTGTATCCTATGACACTGTTCAAGGTGTGTATCTTATGACACTGTGCAAGGTGCGTATCTTATGACACTGTGCAAGGTGTGTATCCTATGACACTGTTCAAGGTGTGTATCCTATGACACTGTGCAAGATGTGTATCTTATGACACTGTGCAAGGTGTGTATCCTATGACAGTGTGCAAGGTATGTATCATAGGACATTGTGCAAGGTGTGTATCATAGGACACTGTTCAAGGTGTGTATCCTATGACACTGTGCAAGATGTGTATCTTATGACACTGTGCAAGGTGTGTATCCTATGACAGTGTGCAAGGTATGTATCATAGGACATTGTGCAAGGTGTGTATCATAGGACATTGTGCAAGGTGTGTATCATAGGACATTGTGCAAGGTGTGTATCATAGGACATTGTGCAAGGTGTGTATCCTATGACAGTGTGCAAGGTGTTTATCCAAACTCCCTGGAAATTGCTACTTAGCTTTAACACCATGTATAATGTTCCTGAATGACATTATTTTGTACATCTGGCTTTGACAGGTTCTAGAGCAAGGTCCTTTGACATCGGAGCAGTTAGCTCAGATTGTAGGCTTGTCTGTTGTACTGGCCAAAGAAAGGTAACTGTTGATCTATCTGTTAATTTTTTTTTTTACACAGTCTGTTGCAGACACTTGTTGAAACCAGAATTTAAACCTTTTAAAATATTTGCATTGAGCATTATTTGAAAGTAGGTGAAAGAAACGGACATTTAAAAAAAATATATATGTGGTATCTGTGTGTGTGGATGAGGTAAACAGAAATACTAAGCATGTTTAAAAAAAAACTATAAGGAATATGAAATGTTAAAAACATACATTAATTTGTGTGAAAGAGAAATAAAGAGACGGAGAGTAACAGAAGGAGATGTTAATTGTAAGTTATTATATGGACACTGGCCTCAGTTTTGTAAGTTATGATATCGACATTGACTGCAGTTTTGTAAATTAAACGATTTCTCTGAGTATGAAGTAAACATTAACTTTAAATAAGAGTAAGAAATCTCTGGAATGAGCCCGTCTGTTCACTTCGTATGTGATACTTTTCAGTGTCTCTGCTATTTCTGCATGGTCGACCTCTGGATCTGTTACCACTGTATCTGTGTAAAATAGCTCTCTGTGGTGCCCTGTTTGGTTCCAGTCTTGTTGTGTAGCCAGAATACATTATCTCTTGTCGACAGATAAAGTTCAGTATTGGTTCTGTGCCGACTCTCCTCCTGATATCATCATTCCTGAGTCGATCTTTCTTTGTTACACCTAGCATAGTACGTAAACATTTCATTTCTGTCGTAACTATTTTCCTTCTGTCTACTGAAGACTGTGTCCAACTTTGACGCATTCAGTTCACAGAGCTTCTTAATTCTTTGACTGTCTGGAATGAGGTGGAGATCGCACCGGAACAGATAGATTATCCATACCTTGAAATACTGATTCTCCACATGTGGGTTCTGTCAACACAGGCTTGAGGGGGTTCTGCATGTGGGTTCTGTTGACCCAGGCTTGAGGGGGTTCCGCATGTGGGTTCTGTCGACCCAGGCTTGAGGGGGTTCTGCATGTGGGTTCTGTCAAAACAGGCATGAGGGGGTTCTGCATGTGGGTTCTGTCAACTCAGGCTTGAGGGAGGTTCCACATGTGGGTTCTGTCAACCCAGGCTTGAGGGGGTTCCGCATGTGGGTTCTGTCAACACAGGCATGAGGGGGTTCCTCATGTGGGTTCTCTCGACCCAGGCTTGAGGGGGTCCTGCATGTGGGTTCTGTCAACTCAGGCTTGAGGGGGTTCCTCATGTGGGTTCTGTCGACCCAGGCTTGAGGGGGCTCCGCATGTGGGTTCTGTCGACCCAGGCTTGAGGGGGTTCCTCATGTAGGTTCTCTCGACCCAGGCTTGAGGGGGTTCCTGTCGACCCAGGCTTGAGGGGGTTCCTCATGTGGGTTCTGTCAACACAGGCTTGAGGTGGTTCCTCATGTGGGTTCTGTCGACCCAGGCTTGAGGGGGTTCTGCATGTGGGTTCTGTCGACCCAGGCTTGAGGGGGTTCCTCATGTGAGTTCTGTCGACCCAGGCTTGATGGGGTTCCGCATGTGGTTTCTGGGGGGTGGGAAAAGGGGTGGGGGGATAGACCCACTGACGAGCACCTCCTACAAGGTGACTAATCAGAAATGTCTCCTTCAAATCAGAGTTTATCTGTGTGAACCACAAGGGACGAACAGTCTGCATACAAAAAAGCCAGATCTGTGAAATGTACACAAAACTCAAGTTCTGGAACAGGACATAAGTCGAGAAGTGGACAAACAACCAGCACTTTGTGCCGGAATCACAACTGCTAAATGCTAAGAAGAAAAAAAGACTGATTCAGCGGGAAGTAAGCAGAGTCTGGGCAGTTTTAACTCGCAGAGGAAAAGATGGGCAAACTTATAATCGGGTTGCAGCTGGCACCATCATTATGGAAACTCTTCATTGAGTCAGATCATGTCTGGGAATGCCCTGAGTGTAATTATGTCAGCTATCCTCAGAATAACAGTCACAAGTTATCGAGGCCAAAAATATACCCTAACAGGGCCTCAGTCACATGTAAATTGCTGACCTCTTCCGGCGACCACACAGCATACCACGGAAAAGCTTCCGCCTAGTTAAAGTCATCGCCGAGAGTATCTCCCGTGCCGCGCGGAGTGGGGCTAAACTAGATGGCTGGGACTCACGAGCAGCAGCTACCACATCTCCTGCAGCTTCCTTTATTTTATTTGCTCGTGAGTCTCAGCCATCTAGTTTGGCCCCACTTTGCGCCACGCATAGCGGCGCGGGAGATACTCTTGGCAGTATGCTGTGTAGTCACCGGAGGTCCGCAATTTACATGTGACTGAGGCCCTGTTAGGGTATATTTTCGGCCTCGATAATTTGGGGCCGTTATTCGGAGATAAGCCGTTATGTCTGTTCTTGGTTCATTCATTGTCTTTTTTTTTTTTTTTATGTTTTCAGTCGTGTTTATTGTTTTGATTTTTCAGGTTATTACTGGCAGAGAAGAATGGAGGTGTTTGTCGTGATGAAACCATTGAGGGACTCAGATTCTACCCAAACTTATTTTTAACACAGGCATAGATAGTATAGCATTATGTTGATGATTTGGTGCAGTATGTTGTGCATATGTATGTAATGTTGTCTCAGTTCCTTAAATATTTAGACAGCATTTTTGTTAAACTATGAAAGACAATTAATAAAAAGAAGATAGGACCCTAGACCTGGCAGCTAGTCTTGGGAGGGCAGCTCTGACAGGTTGTCAGACATAAAGCACTGCTTTTCTGATCTGGCAGCTTCTACAGCATGCTTTGTCGTTAACATATTGGTGTCACCTTTCCTTTGTAGTAAACAAGGCAGGCTGAGCGAAGGATCATGTAAGTAAAAAAAGTAAAGATCCCTTTACACGCCCTTAGGCGCATCGGACATATGGGAAGAGCACCCATATTTTTACAGACCAATGGGCACTCAGTGGGTAATGTGGTGAGCATTACTCCAGCCGTCTTTACTTTCCCAGGACAGCCCATCCTGGTACCCATTTGAGGCTGGGTCGACCTGTGACGTCCCATACCACGATAAAAATCCACGCAGCCCACGTAGGTTTCGATCGCGGTACGTTGGATTACGAGTCGGACTCGCAACGCCTTAGCCACGGATGCCGCACAAGGGATCATGTAGCAAGGGCAAAACATGATCTACAACACCGCCCACGCTTTGTGCTATGAAGAGGAAGAACTTCACCCCTGCCGTTAATTGGCTGCGATTTCCATGCTTCTGTAAAACACAATATAATACTATCATCTGGAAAGGTAAAGTAAAGGGACCTTTTCCACGCCTTCAGATGTATTAGGGCATATAAGGCTAGACCTATATTTTATAGACCATTCGGCACTTGGTGGGTGATGTGGTCAAAATCAATGCAATCAAGTCTCCCCATACTTGCTCCATTTCTGCGGCAGTGAAAATTAAATGAAATGTTTCCCACTGACCGATTTTTAAAACTTGTATACAAACAATTTTCCTGGCACAGTCCAGAAATATGGGCATGCAGTAAATGAAAATGGCAGTTGCCAGAGGTGCCAAAGCCAACAATCGCCACCAGAAATGCATTTTGTCATTGATGGAAGTACTCAATATGATAAGTTGGCTATTTTAAAAAAAAAAGTTAAGACATGCTGAAATTTGCTGAATTTTAAGACATGCTGAAAAGTGAAAATTAAGTTTCGGCCCTGTTCAAATAATAGATAAATAAGAGATGTGAAATATTTATATTTATTTTTGTGATGCAAAGAACAGCCATAGTTTTCATTGTGCCATGAATGAAGCATGGTTGTCGCATGTTGAAAAGATCAAATTTTGGTTAATTAAGGGTTTGTTGAAATCAGTTAACCTGAGCCCAAAAGTAACTTTTTGAAGTCGCAAATGGTTATGGGATGCAGGAAAATGTAGTTGGTGGTTTTTTTAGCACCAAGAAGTACACCTTTGAAAAAAGCAGAAGCCACCTGTGGTGGAAAACATCACTGTCAATTGCCAACAGATTGCCTGTATGATTCAGGTCTCCAAGAGATGCTATATCAGGTTACTTTTGGCAAAATCTGAGCTGCTAGCAAAGGAGACCACTGAAAAGCAAAGGATGTTTAAAGACTGTTGATAGCTTCCAAATTAAAACTAAATTTTAAAAATATTAGCAACCTTGTTTAATGATCCTATTTGTCAATGTATACCTCAAAAAATCTAAGCCTACATCTGTTGCATCAGTGCAGACTCAAGCCATTGTTGCATCTGAATACCCTGTAAATCCTCTTCCAAAACAGTTTGTTCAGATCTACCTATGGTAAGTTGCTCAAAGCCAACAACCCTCTTCAACAGAAAAGAACATGAATTAGATTGGCTTATTTCACCTGCCTGTGGAAAACAAATTAACTTGGACTCACCGTATTTTGTGGGCATATGCAGATTTTGCACAACAACCCAGCACACCTGCCACTATTAGGAGAATAGCCAGGGACATCACATTGTTGTTTGCTTTTAAGAAAATTGGAAAAGTAGTCGTCGTAGCAGATACTGCCACTGATATGAAAAGCAATAAATTTACAACACAAAGTAGGGTGGTCGTTTCCCTTACTGGTCTTTTGTCTTTTTCAGTGCTCATGAAATTCTGGAAAGTATCCAGTACTTTTATGAGACTGGGTTGACCCAGACGTATTGGTAAAATCAATCCTTTTATCGGTAAATGAACCCTGACAGCTTTCTCTCTGGGCAAGCACACTAACTACTACACCACAGCAGCATAATCAAATGTAGCAGCAATCAAATTCAACTATTTTTTTTATCCAAGTGTAGCCTAGCAGGTGATGCTCCCAGGTTTCAATATTTTTATCAGTATCATAGTCATCAATTGTTTAAACAAACAACTACAACCCCCCGCAAAATGTTTTTGATGCCTAAACTCCCAAAATCAATTGCTTGAAACAAATTAGAAATACATAGGGGGTTGAAAGAACACTTTTATTCCATTTTTGCATACATCTGAAAACACAAACATACATGTTCAGAAATGGCTGATGTATTTTCCAAACAACAGGAATATATATATATTAATACTTGTGTATAGAGCATCCCACTACCAGCCACTATGTTGCAGTCAGTAGACCAATAATGCTGGTACTGAACTAAACTTAACTCTTGACTTCCCCAATTGCTGAGACTAACAAGTACAACTATCAGATCCATTCTGCTTCAAAACATAAGTTTTATGCAGTAATTGTTGTTGCACTGATCCAGGATTAACTTATAGGCAATGCCAGCCCGCTAGTCAAATACCCAGTGAGGCAGATTTGTAAAACTTAATTGACTACCAAGGCAATTACAAATATGGGTACCAGGAAATCTTCAGGGAAGTAAAGGTGACTAGCATGAGGTTGATTTCATTATCCATCAAGTGCTAATTGGTCTCTAAAAGCCCCTAGCTAAACTTTTTTTTAATATGCATGAAAGATAAAGCAAGTCCATCAACTCTAAATGTCAGTCTCCTCATGTTCTTATTCATTTCTTAATTAAGTTCAATGGATGACTATTTTCGGAAAATGCTGCAAAATGGTTTTTTTTTTAAATCTTAGTAAAAAGATTTTTTAGGGAGGGGGAAGTAAAAGTAAAGATCCCTTTTCACACCTTGAGGCGCATCGGGCATATGGGAAGAGGTCCCATATTTTTACAGACCAATTGGCACTAGGTGGGTAATGTGGTCAGCATTACGCCGGCCGTCTTTACTTCCCCAGGACATACATCCCGGTACCCATTTTAGGCTGGGTCATCCCGCAACATCCCCATACCATGATAAAAATCCATGCAGCCAGCAGTGGGTTTCGATCGGGGTACGTTGGAATTAGGAGTCGGACTCGCAACGCCTTAGCCACGGATGCAGCAAATCTTAGAAATAAGGACCCTTTTATACCACTGGCACATTGGGCATTTGGTGCTAGACTTATGCTTTACAGATGAATCGGTACTATATGAGGATGTGGTCAACATGCCAGCCACATTTATTGTGAATATTTCCTGGTACCTACTATAGGCTGGGTCAACCTGGGAACCGAGGTCATTTTATTTTAAGCACTCTGCCAGGCTGCAGATCTAAACCCAAGATTTTTCATATCAGCTGGCAAGCGTCTAGTCAATGCACTGCCACAGCTCCGCATAACCATTATAAAAACCCCTTCTATATTCTTCTCCTTCTGTTATTGAGGTTTAAAAGCAAATTTAAACTTTAAAAACAACAATCAGTTCTTTTAAACTTCTTTGTTTTGTTTCATATAATTACTGAAGCCTTACATTCCTGAAAAGTTCCTTTTTTTTTGCCCACCTGACCAAAAAAAAATGACCTTTGAGAATGAAAGTGAGCCACAATGAGGCCTTCAGCAGGTACATGAATTGTGATACAAACAAATGATCGTAATTTGATAATTTGTAATCTATTTCCTGATGTTAGTAACAAATGAAGAAAGAGGTATACGTAACTATAGAAAAGACAACCCAGCCTTCTGGAAAGGGGTTGTCAGAAAGACCATCAAACACAGAGACATCTATGGTTATCTTGAGTTAACAAAGCGAGTGATCCACTCTGATATTCACAGGACACAAATGACCGAACAGCAACACTGCGGCTGGTCCTGTTTACCTCTGTTACATATGCAAATAATATGTGGTGAAAATGTAAACTGGAAAACAAACTATAAGGCAGTTTTACAAAAAATAACAACTGCAATAACAGATGACTATCATAACAAGCCTTCATCAGCAAAACACAACAGTGAAACGGCACAAAGACAAAAATTTAGACCGAATTAACATTGTAGGTACAATGTAGTTGCCCTAGTGTGTTTAATTCATCACCATCTCCGTCTCGGTTTTGTATTTTGTTGATGAAGGCTTGCTGCCACGAGATTCCCGTGTAAATCTGGGAAGTAGTCCTGAAGCTGATGTTTCCCCAAAGTTCACTGTGAACAAATCAATCACAGAGACAACATCCTCAAGACTGCTGTATGCTTAGTCAGCTGCAGATGTACTCTACTGAGACACACATCCACACAAAGCTATTTTGGGAGTCTCTGTTAACTCTTGATTACAACAACATACATCCAGAGAACTGAATATCTTTTGTGTGGACACGAGGCAAGTTTAAAGTCTTCTTTATATTATGATGCAGAACCAACCCCAGGATTTTTTGGCTGTTGAGGTTTTTCTAGGCAAATTTTACATTCAGCAGTTTGCCACTGCTAGACTTCCAGGAAAATACCATTGGAGGGGATGTGAAGTCACAGGACACTTGTATTCCTAACCAGTGAATGACAAGGTCTCCAGGTTCTTTCCTTTTTGCCTCTACTTCTTCGCTGTAAACAAATCTCTGTGTATATCCATTTCATGAAGTTACCATGGCTTATGTAACTAACTAGATGTGTTAACATATGTCTTTGGATTTCTGTCACAATATGCTCTGCTTGGCTTGCAACAAACCTCAGGATGAACACATTTTTATTACTGAAGAAGAGGTCATTTATATGGCTTTAAAAAACTGCAAGGTTTCA